TCTATGGGGTAGACAAACAGATCACTTTCTTCGAAGGGGACTGCTTTCAGATCTTGAAAAACCAGCTCAAAGACCTGGCCCCATACAGTGTTATCTTTGCAAGTCCTCCATGGGGTGGTATGTTTCAACGATCTTGCTATTCACGTCTATTGCTGACCCTTGAGTGATATAGGACCGGGATATCGCTCTGACGAGGTTTTCAACCTGAAGACGATGGAGCCATACTCACTGGAGACTCTTTACAAAGAATACTCTGCTTTCAGTGAACACATGGCTTTGTATCTACCCAGGACTTCGGATGTAAAGCAGCTAGCGAAATTCGCACAGGGCGACCGCAAGGCGGCAGTGATACACTACTGCATGGAAGGTCACAGTAAAGCGCTGTGCATATACTACGGTGGATTCAGCGTACAATCATAATTTTCTTTCTTGTTTGCCCGATATCCAAATTTATTAAGTCTTTTCACGGTTGATTCTAAATACCTTTCGCTTAGCGCCTGACTAGAGTATGATAACTGTATGAGACTTCACCCTCATGCCACCTTTTATCACTACATTTTCTTCATTTACATTTCTAATAATTGTAAATATATCACCTTCTCATTGGCCCATCGAAATTTCATCCTCTGGCTCGAATGTTAGGCGTTTTTGAATCCCCACTGTGAAGCTGATTACCCGATAGGGTTAGCGCCCAGGCGCGCGGCTTTTTGGCCGCGGTGCCGCGCCTGAACCCAGTTATCCTCATCCTTCACTTCTCCCCCCTCCTCGCCTTCCACTCGTCGAGACCGTTACGCCAACCGCGTGTCTCATCCGGCTTGGTTGACAGATAGCATCCGCCCCCCGATGTGTGCATCATAAACCCAAAACTCTGCCTGCCTGGCTACCTGTCGCCCTACATCCATCGATCGTTGCACTGAGACGCCTCGCCCGTGTCCTTGCAATATCTCGACCTTTCCTCACTCACGGTGTGAGTTCTGTTAGAATCCAGATATGCCTCACGCCACTCAAAATGAACCCTCCGGGGAGCCGGATGATGCCGATTTCGACAATGTGATGCGACAGCTGAATAACTACGAAAGTGGCCCGCAACTTGACTTCTTGTCGCGAGACCTCGATGTTGGCGAGAAGGCAGACGATGCTGTTGACTACGAAGACTTTGACGACGATGAACTTCCTGAGGATGAGACACCCGCTGCGCCTCAACATCCCTCAACGAACGATGCGGACGAGGATCCTTTTGCGAACCTTGGCGAGGAGGATGCTGATCTTTTCGGAGGTGGAGATGACATATTCGGAGAACAGGAGGCTGCAGACACACAGGGACAGGATGACAATCTCGATGATCTTTTCGGCGATGAGCCTATGTCCCCTGCTGCTGATCAGGCGGATCACACGCAGGGTCTCTTCGAGGATGAAGAGCCATCGGTGACCAATCAACCCGTTGAACTGCCTCCCATTCCACCTGCTCCGGAGCCCGAGCCCCAGCAGATGGCGATTGATGATGAGGATGAGGATTTTGAGGATGATGCCAGTGTCCTGTCAGAAGATATGGACCCAGCTACCCTACGCGCTTGGAAGCTACAGCAGGAACTGTTTGCGATGTCATCGATAATGGGGCCTGAAACCCTCCCGGCGCCACCAGAGAATCATGAAGAGCTTCTCCGCTCGTTGTTCCCGAGCTTTGACCGCAGCGCTCTCCCGCGCTGGTTAGAGCTCATTCCCCATAAAAAGGCAATTTTCCTTGGAAAACAACCATTGAAAGTTCCGAAACCAGTCCTTCCAACCAAGGTCAATATCGAACTAGCTCCGGATCAGGAGCGCGTCTTCCGAACTGGTCAAGCTACTAAGCGTGGTCTTGATCATGAGTCCATGGGTATCGTGATGATCACCGAGGCCACACAGGAGGAAGAGGAATCAAAGGAAGATATCGAATTAGCAGATATGGATGTGGATGAGGTGCTTCCTGGTGGGTTTACCATGCAAGATCTTCGCACTATTTGCGCAGATTGGGATGTGAAGGACCAAGACCTTTCTGGGGTAGAAAAAGAAAAGCAACTGCCAAAGAAGCCCGTGGCTGATATGCTCGACGACGAGGAGGATTGGTTGTTTGATGCAGACCATCCTTCGAAGAAACGCAAGACTGGACCAACCCCCATGGATGTCATTGCCTTGTCACACCGCGACATTCCGCTACTGGACGACCCCGAGCAAGCACTTTCGCAGATCGCAAAGAGGGTCACCATCGATATGAATGACCCTAATATTCTTGTCGAAGAGCTTAGGCCCGATTCCGTCGTCCAAAAACCAAAACATGCTGTTCCTCGTAATGGAGAGGAGGTGGATTTGAATACAACTCGCCGTCTGACTCAGCGATACAATATCTCGAACGACCAGGCCTACGACATGCTAAAGCAAAATCATCAAAACAAGATCCGAAGCACGCTCGGCAATGTGACCTTAGAGCATGCTCTTCCAGCCTTGCGATTGCAATGGCCCTACTACAAAACGGAGCTAGCGAAGACTGAATCCCGATCGTTCCATCGGCCTGCTATGGTCTTCCGACAGGGTCAAACTTCGTGGTTCAAAAATCCCACACATGTGAAACGAAAGCATTATAAGGGTAAAGACCCCAAGGCCCTCTTCGAGTCAACAAAGTCCCTGTCTATGGCAGATAACTCCAGCATCCTGCTTGTGGAGTACTCCGAGGAAGCCCCGATGGCTCTCTCCAACTTTGGCATGTGCAATCGGTTCATTAACTACTATCGACGGAAGAACCCAGACGATCCGACACGTCCAAGGGCAGACATTGGAGAAACTGCTGTTTTGCTACCTCAAGACAAGAGTCCATTCTCCATCTTTGGACATGTGGATCCAGGTGAAATCACTCCAGCAATTTCAAATTCGATGTATAGAGCACCGCTTTTCCCACATCAGGCCAAGTCCAACGACTTCCTGGTAATTCGCAACTCTACTGGCTCTGGTGGCAGCAATTTCTTCCTTCGCAATATCGAAAATTTCTATGTTGCTGGACAGCAGTTTCCTTCCGTTGATATTCCCGGTCCCCACTCCCGCAAAGTCACCACTGTTGCCAAGAATCGTATGAAAATGCTTGTCTACCGACTTCTGAAAAAGAGTGCCGACTCCCGACTGTCAATTAGTGACGTGACAGCACATATCCCCGGCACCACCGACATGCAGAACAGGCAGAAGGTCAAGGACTTCCTGCAGCATGACAAGGACACCAAATACTGGAAACCTCTGGATTCCACCCTCCCAGACCAAGACACCATACGAGCATGGGTTCAACCTGAAGATGTTTGTCTTTTGGAATCTATGCAAGTTGGCCAGCAGCATCTCCACGATACTGGCTTTGGTAACGATGCAGATAACGGCAATGATAACGACGATGACGAAGAAGGCGAGAGTTTTGAGCAACAAATGGCACCTTGGAAAGCTAGTCGCAATTTCCTGCTAGCATCTCAAGGCAAAGCGATGCTGAAACTTCACGGCGAAGGTGATCCCACTGCTCGCGGCGAGGGCTTTAGTTTCATCAAGACATCAATGAAGGGTGGTTTCAAAGCCATCGGTGAAAGTGTTGAGGACAAGTTGGACGCACAACGGTTGAAAGAGCTCGGCGGTCACAGTTACAACGTTGCACGCCAGCAAAAGTCCTATGAGACTTCTATTCGCCGAATTTGGGATTCCCAAAAAGCCAGTCTCTCTTCCACTGTTGAGCATTCCGATCAAGAGAGCGATGTCGATCAAGAAGAGGAAGAAGACTTCAATAAGCCAACGCCACGATCCGAAGCACCCACTCCAGCCCCTTATCATCACAACGATGAGACAACTAGTCAGTTCAGTAGGATGAGCTTCGCTACCCAACGAGGCAAGGTTCTACGGATCACTCGTCAAATCAAGGCCGACAATGGTGAAATTGTGGAGAGAGAACAGATCGTCCGAGACCCGCGCGTCATCAAACAATACATTCAACACCGCCACCGCAGCGAAGCCCTCACCACCAAGCTGGAATCCCTCAAGCCAACAGGAGATGCCGAGGTTGATGCCCGCAACCGCAAGTTGATTGAAAATGAACTGAGCCGACTCAACCGCAATAAGGAGCGCCGCTTTGCTCGAGAGAAGCAAAAGGGCATTTCTCGCTCTGGCGACTCCTCGGCGGACGGAAAACCCGCCGGCACCCAGCGCAAGTGCGCCAATTGTGGACAAGTCGGACACATCAAAACCAATAAGAAACTTTGTCCTCTGCTTAACGGCACCATGAAGCCCGAGGATCGAGTCACTGACTCGGCCTTTTCCATGAGCGCGCCTGTTCTCTGAGGCCGCTCTATCTTTCTACTATACTTTCACCTCCTCTTTCTTCAATATTCAATATGATACCCCTCCCTATCTTGAACGCCGGGTTGATATTTTGCGCTTTTCTGGAATTTGCAGTTTTTATTTCTTTTCTCTTTCTTGGCCTAACGATGATGCAGCCAAATCTCAAGGATAGAAATTGGCGTTGGAAAATCTTTTTAATGCGTATGCATGGCATGGGACTTTGCTTTTTTTTTCCCGCCAGCTTAGACTGGCATTCATCCATGGATGGTGTAGTGAATCACCGTCGTTCGTGCTATTTGGTGTTTCTTTTCCCACATGTACAGTATGGCCTCGGCGTGCACCGTTGCAGCAATTTATCAAACTGTGATACCAGAACTCACATTTTCCAATTACTATTCGAAGTTCAACATAGATGGCCCTCCGACGGTCTGGATCTACAGGAAGCGACCGGCAAGGCCATGATTAGTTGATATTTTGCTATTAATATACAGGAGCGAGAGAAAGGACCGGACTGGGGGGGAAACCATGATGGGCTTCGTAGAGTATAGCAAGTGCCTTAAAGATATAGAGCCGGTATGAATGAATACAACAATTCAGGATAAGGAAACACCAAAACGCAGAAAGTCGATAGAAAAAGCTGCAACCAAAAATTCCCAAAACTCATCTCAAACCTCCATATAAACCCCGTAGAGGTCTTCCATTAACTGCCCCCTCCCAACCCTCTGACGGCCACGATCTAGGCTAAGGGCGAGTGCCGGACCCATCGGTCGTCGATAAGTGTACCCCAAAAAGACAGACCTCTTGCGAATTTCCAGGGCTGCCTTGCCTACTCCCTTGTCTCGCAGTATCTTGTCTCGGGGTCGTTTTCTCTCCCTCTTCTTCTTAGTCGCCGGCGCCTTTTGAGAGTCGACATTTGCAGGAGTGATAGCGTCAACATCAGGTAACGGCTGATCAAGCAACGGGTGAATTTGGCGGGATGAGGATGCATGCATCAGCGAAATGTTCGGTTTGTCATCAGACCTTTCATCGGACTCTTGATTATCGCTGTCTCCTACAAATTCTTCGGCATTTCCACTGGATTTCCAATCTTCAAAATATCGGGTGTCTTCCCAGTTCTTGACGCGGGGGGTCATTGGCGGTTGAGTCAAATGAAGTTGATTCCATTGGATTCCTCTGAAGAATGGGTGGGCTTTGATCTCCACGGCGTCATTCGGGAACACATAGTAGCTGTTGATGTGTTGATAGCGAGGGCCCATCGAGTACAAGAAATTAGAGGTGACAGGCCGGCCGATCAAGATGTCATTAACGTGGTATCTCGGGGAAGATAGTCGAAACTCGCGCTCCTGGAGGATTCGACTGATGAGATCGATTGCATCTTGTGATACTATCTTGTCGGTAGATTTTTCCCTGGGGAATTTCAAGCTTTTTGAGTGGTGCTAAGGTGCCGGATGTTAGAAAACGCAAGGCAAGAATTGTCTGGGGCTGTTGAGACTTACAAGGATTTTCACCTTAGTGTCGTGACGATTGTCACAGGCGAATGGCGTGTACCCATAAAAACACTACAGATCACTCAGTACGTCACTCGTTGCTGGGCAAATTTTCCACTTACCTCGTATATAATAACTCCCAGGCTCCACCAGTCACATCGCCCATCATACATTTCACCTCGGATGACCTCTGGAGCCATGTACTGACTTGTTCCTACTATACTCTTCGCGAACCTCCGTCTCTCTTTGCTATTACGCCACTCCAACAAATTTGTTGGTGGCGGGCGGTATCTGGAAGGATCCTCCAGACCATGAAGCCTTGGATCAGGAGAAGCATCCGCATTCTCTGCAATCTGAGACTGGTCTTCTTTGTCGCCTTTGATGGTGACCCCGAGCCTTTCCAGAAGAGAGTAGCGCTGATTATGGTAGTAAATTTGGTCATGAGACCAGTGTCCGTTGAAAGCCAGGCCAAAGTCAGAAATCTTCAAGTGACCGGAGGCAGAAATGAGGAAGTTGTCTGGTTTGATATCACGGTGAATCCAACAGAGTCGGTGAGCTTCTTCAATGCACAAGATCATTTCTGCGACGTAAAATCTGGTCCATTCTTCACGAAGAATGTCTTTGCGGATCAACAGCCCAAGAAAGTCTCCGCCGACCATGAAATCCATGACAAGGTAAAGGTTGGCGTTGTCTTGAAAGCTGCTTATCAACGGAACCACCCATTGGGACCTTTCCGACGCAACAAGGAAATCTCGCTCAGCTCGGATGTGGCCCTCCTGGGAATTACTGATCATTTCGCGCTTTCTGATCACCTTCATTGCGTATACCTCTTTCTTCTCTCCTGTCATCACCTTCCGCCGTCCATTTCTGGATCCATCTGCTGTGGATCTCAATACTCCAATGGATCGAGGTCTAGGGTTGGACAAACTTCTCTCTGGTCTCAATGTATCCTCTACCTCGTGATCGCTCTGAGTGTTGTCTTTTTCACGCACAAGACGCACCACACCAAAGCTACCTCTGCCCAGTATCTTGACGGTCTCGTAGCCAGCGATCGAAGTCGTATCCTCAACTCGGGTGCTTTTCATCTTCGTTTTCAGGTTTCGACATTGGCGTAGATATCCGTTCTCCTGGAGAAGCCAGTTTTTTCTGGTCTCAGCCTGGGCCTCGGGGAAAGTTGAAACGCATACATGTGCTGCTCTAGTTCATGCTGACGGTGCACCCTTGGGTCAGCATTCTGAAAGATAGAGTTGAAATAAAGCTCCAAACATATCTTGGCCGCCGAGGTAGATTCAACGGTCAAGATGGATGGTGCGAATATTGGTGATCTGCTTCCCGCGATAGTGTTGAGATCTGGAGCACAATCAGGCGAATACAGTCCTCCCGACGTCACAGTATATTTTTCCGATGAAGCGGACTTCTCTTCAGAAGTCACTGGAGTCGGCGGGGTTGCAACTCCGACAAGGGGGGGATTCGTTGCTACTCGGAGCCGTGGAGGGGTCTGAACTGTCATCGGCGCCATCGCCTTGCTTGTCCGGGCTGCTCGTTGTTGCAAACTCTTGGAAAGGAATACTTGGTCTCGATCTCAAGTGGGCACGACGAATGACCGTTGGGTGGCCAAATGGGTGGGAGAGTCGTTGGGAAACCCTGTCAACTAGCGTGGAGCTTGGAGTGCTTGCTTGTCCGCTACCAATGGGGAAACAACCGGAATTTTCGTTGGCGAAGGGGTTCTGCGAGCTGCATTCGCCGTTTCCTATACCAGTCTCCACGGTGGATACATGGCAGTCTGCGAGAATCTCAGCAGGGTTGCCGATAGCGGGTGTAGCTGGCGGGTGGACATCGATTGAACGAGCGGCAATGGGCGATTCACTTTCGGGGGAGCCATCGCTAGTCAAAGAAATAGGGCTACCTCTCTCCGCAACTTCGGATGAGGGAGTCTGGTCTCCTTCAGGGCTTGAAATATCTCCGCAGGATCCAAATCCGGCACTCGTCTTGTTACCTGTGAGAAGTAGTTAGTCTCCACGCCAGAGGAAGTCTATCGATAGTTAATCACTGGCCGTTGGAAGACCCTCCCAGTCCAAATAAGAATAGGATCTTTGATCCACTCTGAGTCAAGCGGACCTTCAGACGATCTCGATTTCTGCGGGGGTGAATGATGGGATCGGACGCAGGAGAGTCTGACACTGCTGAGCCAGTAGGGGACGGATCGAATCGGTTGCTAAAAGGAACGACTTTGGCTGGGATCCAGAGGCCGAAGACACTGCGTCGTTTTCGTAGCTTCTTATATCGTGGGTTAGTCATGTCGTATATACTGAAGAAAGCAATCCAAAAGGGAAGGGCATGTGTATAGAGGGATGTGTGCTTTCACGACATGTTGATAAACAAAAGGAAAGAATGTGACTCGGTTATAATCAAGAAAGGAGGGGATGGTTGAATATGGTGGAAGATGTTCGAGAAATACCTAGGGGAGTAGACAATTTGAACCATTCCAAATTGAGAAGGGCGCGGAAGGAAACCGCGGAATGGGATGCATTTCATCCAAGGCAGGCACGGCGTTGAGTTTAGGTTAGGTCTACCATGGTACTGGGAGTGACGTGTATACATAGTGTACACAATGCATACATAGTAGTGTACACAGTCTACATAGTCTACATGGTGTATTACTACATAGTATCCTAGGTATCCTAGAACGGGTTGAAGGTTGAGATAAAGAGAAGAAATATAAGAAAGCCGATAGGCAAAATAGATTCAGATACACATGAACGGGTACAAATTACAACAAACAAATCAGGCACTTTTTCCATGCAGGGGAGATAATCTCCTCGTGATCGTCTCGGTCTCCTCAAGAGAGTGAGAGTCAGCAAAATAAAAGAAACAAGCCGGATATCACGGGAAATCATGCAATCAAACCGGAGCCACAAATAACACCCTGGGAAACAATGGTAGAAGACTCAGGACACAACATCAGCAATTAATTTACTTGATCTCCAGCAGCTTAACGTCGAAGATGAGCTTGGAGTTGCCGGGAATACCGGGGAGAGCCTTCTTGCCGTAGGCGAGCTGGGGAGGGATGGTGATGCGACGCTCACCACCGGGGGCCATGCCGGCGACACCAATGTCCCAACCCTTGATGACCTCGCCCTTTCCGAGCTTGAAGGAGAAAGGCTTGCCCTTCTTGTTGGAGTCGAAGACCTTGCCATCCTCGAGCTTTCCGATATAACGCATAGCGACGGTGTTGCCGCTCTTGGCAGCAACACCCTTGCCAAGCTTCTTGTCATCGATCTTGACACCGCGAATCTCCTTCACACCAAGGGTGCCGGTGGGCTTGTCACCGGAGGGGGTAGGACCCTGCTCGAGGTTCTTGGCGAACTGGACCTTCTTGTCGGTCTTGGCCTCCTTCTTAGCCTCCTTGGGTTCAACGGCGGCGGCGGCGCCGTCGTTCTTCTTGAGCTTCTTCTGCTGGGCCTTCTCCTCGGCCTTAGTGGCCTTGCCCTTGGCGGTCTTGGCCATCAGGTCATCGAGGCTCTCCTCTTCAGCAGCACGCTTGTTCTTGCCCTTGGCCTTGGCCTCAACCAGCTTGGGGGCCTCCTCCTCGCTGTCAACCTCGGTGATGCGGGGGTCTTCCATATCATCCAGGTCGTCGCTGTCGTCGCCGTCAAGAGCCATGATGTCATCCATGTCGAGCTCATCCTCGTCGGGAGACAGGTCGTACTCATCATCCTCATCCTCATCACCATCGAAGTCAGGACGTCCCTCGTCGAGGCCGATGACGTAGTTACCGGTGATGTAGACGGTGTGGTTACCGGTAACCTTGAAGAAGACAGGCTCGCCCTCGCAGACAGTGATGTCAAGGGGTTGTTGCCAGTTCTATAGATGAGTTAGAAATTTTGCCATCGCCAAAGGAAAAAAATCAATGCTTACCTTCTCGGGGCTCAGTGTGCAGAGAACGTTCTCGTCAAGGTCCAGACCCTCGTCAGACTCATCATCAGACTCATCATCATCGATAGCGGGACCCTTGCCCTTGATAAGCTTGGAGATAGCAGCCTTCAGGTCGAAGTCACCATCGTCAGACTCATCATCTTCGTCATCCTCCTCCATAGCCTCAGCCAGCTCCTTCTGGATGGCAGCCTGCTTCAGCTTACGAGCCTTCTCCTTGTCGCTAGGGCCACCGTTAACCTCCTCGTCATCGGAGTCCTCCTCCTCATCATCCTCCTCATCACTGTAGTCCTCATCATCCTCACCGAAGTCTTGTTCAAGACCGGGAGGAGGGCGAACAATCTTCAGAGTCGCGCGAGAGGGCGTACCAGCCTCGTTATCGGAATCAAACTCGGGGGCCTCATCAGGGTCGATGGCGGCCATGCTCACACGGAACTAAAAGATAAAACAAAGAGTCAATGGCAAAATTCGGTCGAGTACCAGCAAGATCTTGTACTCACCGATGCGGCGGCATTGGGCACGGCGGCAACCAATTGACCGGGGGCAACCCGGAGGGCATAGACGGCGACAGGCTGCACGGCAGACATTATGAGATGAATCAAGAGAGATGAATGCAGATAGTAAACAGGGAAGAGAGATAGGGAAAAGAATGAGCCACTAGAAAAAAAACGGGCGTGGATGGGGAAGAGAAAAAGATCGAAGATTGACCGACCCAAAGCAGCGATGGCAGATCCGCTGGAGCTCTTTTTTTTAGTTTTTTTTTTCCTGCCATTTTTCAGTCCGCCTCTTTCAAACCAGCCAATGATATCTATTAAAATGATCTCACCGCCAAATGATTTGCCTCCGTTCACCGTGAGGTCTACCGCTTGCACGTGCCTTGCATTTTCTGCCGAAGACGCGTGATGTCGCCCGCCCGCGCTATCGACCATAAATGTCTCATTGAACCATTTAGTGGTCATGGTAGTCTTTCTGGCCCAGTATGGGCTCTCGTCATGATGCCTCATCTAATGCGGTGCGGAAGCGGATCGAGAATCGTATGTTATACCCACTACTTCTAGCCGGCTAAGACCTACCGTCTAATACAACCTCATATAGATGACTTCAGCAATGAGACCGGCGAGGAGTATGAAGCCTCCAGCTTCGGCGGCTTTTCTGATTATATGCGCCGAAAGAAGATCAAACTTCAGAATTTAGACGCAGAAATCCGATCGACATCCGGTGACTGTCCACCTATCTTCCGCGGAGTCGTTGCACATGTTAATGGCTACACCCAACCCTCCCTCCAAGATCTCCACCGTCTAATTGTCAGTCATGGCGGTGGCTTCCTGCAATACCTAGATAGTAAGACCATTGCTACGCATATAATCGCCAGCTCGTTGACCCCGAAGAAACGAGAAGAGTTTCGACGGTACCGCATCGTGAAACCTGCTTGGGTAACCGACAGCATTGAGGCTGGCCGTTTACTTCCTTGGGATAAATATCGTGTGGTAGACGAGGGCCATGCTCAAAAAATCTTAAATTTCGGTGATAGTCGATTTGGCATTCAGACTAACACCCCCCAGTCGAGCTATAAAGATCAATCCAGAAGGAGCTGGTACAACACACAATTACAGTCGATGGGTTCAGCTGGGATGTCAGAAACTCCACCTAAGCCACCACGGCCATCTCCAAAGCTCCCAAGTCAGTCCTCACAGTCCGACTATGGCGATTTCCCAAGCTTCACTGCTCCCGACGATGACAACCCCAGTTCTCCCGCCAAGGAGCTACAAGATTCAACCACCACGCCTGAGAAACCGATGGCTATAGACACCCCTGATGATACACCCCGGACTGCTCCTGAAAGACAACAGCAAGTTTTGGAGTCATCTGCGGCGGCGAACAAACACAGTCCTTCATTGGGCCCCCAGATGACCTCCGAGGAATATAACGCACAGCTCCTCACCGACCCTCGAATGCGAAATTCAAGCTTTGCCAATCCTGATTTCATCCAACAATATTATCGAGAGTCTAGACTTCATCATCTGTCAACCTGGAAAGCTGAGTTAAAATCCCAGCTTCAAGCAGCAACCAGGGAGAAAGCACAATCGCAACCTCCTCCAAAAAAAGCTGCACCTGGATCAAGACGATATATCCTTCATGTTGATTTTGATTCATTCTTTGCCGCAGTTTCGATCCTCAAACGACCAGATCTTAGAGAGAAGCCGGTAGCCATTGCACATGGTTCGGGTCCTGGTTCTGAGATCGCTAGCTGCAATTATGTCGCGCGGGGTCACGGTGTGAGAAACGGCATGTGGATGAAAGGCGCTCTGCAAGCGTGCCCTGAACTTCAGGTTTTGCCTTACGACTTTCCCGCATACGAGGATGCGAGTCGCAAGTTCTACAGCTCGGTCCTTGCTATTGATGGCATTGTTCAAAGCGTGAGCATCGACGAAGCCCTCATTGATATTACAAATCAATGTTTGGAGGCAGGGGGCTCGAACAATCAGGACATATCAGAAGAGTCTATCGATCGTGAGCATGCATCAGCGGACGTAATTGCTCAAAACTTGCGGGATTCGGTCAAGGAAAAGACAGAATGCGCTGTTTCAGTTGGAATCGGAGGCAACATTTTATTAGCCAAAGTGGCGCTGAGAAAAGCAAAGCCGGCAGGACAATTCCATCTAAAGCCGGATGCCGTCCTAGACTTTATTGGAGAACTGACCATAAGAGATCTTCCGGGCTTTGGATCTAGCCTTGGAAGTAAGATGGAGGAGCTTGGGGTTAAACTTGTCAAGGATGTTCGCGACATTCCTAGGGAGAGATTGGTCTCCAGTTTAGGGCAAAAGACCGGACTGAAGATATGGGAATATGCTCGGGGTATCGACATGGCCGAGGTCGGCAACGAGGTACAGCGAAAATCAGTTTCAGCTGAGGTCAATTGGGGCATCCGATTCGTCAACCAGGAACAGGCGGAGGATTTCGTCAGTTCTCTTTGCAAAGAACTTCACGGCAGACTTGTTGAAAATCTGGTCAGGGGCAAACAACTTACGCTAAAGGTCATGCGGAGATCAATGGATGCCCCCCTCGAGTCCACAAAACACCTTGGCCACGGCAAGTGTGATACGTTCAACAAAAGCGTCGTCATTGGCGTGGCCACCAATGCGTCCGACATTCTAGGCAAACAGGCCATCTCCATGTTGCGAAGCTTCAACTTCTCCCCGGGGGATCTTAGAGGCCTAGGCGTGCAAATGACCAAACTAGAGCCGATCAAGGCTGGGCCCACTACGAACCTTGAAAGTAGCCAGCGACAGCTCAATTTCCAGACATCCCCAGTGCGCAAGAAGCCAGTGGTGAATGCGGACCCTGATGAATTGGACAGTCCCCAGAAGGGTGATTCTGCCAGGATCCAGGTCGATCCAGTCCTCAGCAACAGTGCGCATAAACCAATGAACATGTCAGGGTCTCAATTCATCATGCCCACGCAGGCAGATCCTCAGATTCTCTCAGAACTACCTGGTGATATCAGATCAAGGCTTGTGGCACAGGCAAAACCCCGACAAGACTCACGCTCTGGGTCTCCATGTCCAGCTTCCCGTTCGCGAGAGACTGTCAATACCGATCTGCCTCCTCAGTCCCAGTTGGATCCAGAGATTTTGGCTGCATTGCCCGATGATGTTCGAAATGAAGTCCTGGGTTACTACAGTGTACCACCCACTACATCCACCCCCCTGGTACCACCTCCACTACCAGCGGCATCTATACCACGACCCGCATCTGCTGGTGGACTCAAACTAAGAAGGCCAACATCCCCGCCTAAGAAGAGGCGTGGTCGACCTCCGAAATCCGCGTCAGCTGTCAACAGCCATTTAAGGCAGTCAAGCTTTGCATTACCCCGAGCGGTAGCTGTTACAGCATCAACAAGTCAAACAACATCTCGGCAGCCTTCTCCTGCTGTCCAAGAACAGCCCGAAGCCTCAGCCGAATTTCTCGCCGCACTTCCTGAAGACATCCGACGAGAAATTCTCGAGGAACAGAAGCGAGCACAAATGGCCCAGATTCCCCATGTCTCCGCTGCGGCGTCAGCCAGGCCTCCCTCCCAACCACAAGCACCGGCCGCCCCCGCCCCTGTTCAAGTTGAGAAGGTGTTGCATCTACCTCCTCTTCCCGAACGACCAGTCTTCACATCGCAGCGTCTATCTGCTTTGCCAGATCTGCGAGATGCAGTCGGGGCATGGCATTCGGCCTTTGCAACCGATGGGCCCTACGAGGAAGATGCCCAGGCCTTATGCACGTACCTACGGTGCGTCATTGCCGAGGAAAAGGATATCGACAAGGCTGTTTCTGTAGTACGCTGGCTGATGTGGCTCGTTGGCGAGCATGCCTCTCCGGGAGATTTGGTTGAGAAACAACCCCCTCGCTCTGCACAGAGCGATGTCTTGACTTGGGCCGATGCAATTCACGTAATGCAGGGTTCTTTACAGCGGGCTCTGGGTGAGAGAGGGTTGCCACCTGTGGAATTTGAATAGTTGTTTTGTAAATTTATATAGCACCATGACTTTATACTATGATGCAACGAGTGATGAATGTCTATTTGTGAGAATTATCGTCTAATACTTATCTTCAGGGCTCCAAGGCTCCAGGGCTCCAGGGCTCCAGGGCTACCTACTAGGTACTCCAACCTACTACTCTACTACTGGTAGACATACTTTAAAAAGTCCGAGCCCTGCAGGGCTTAAGTAAATTTTCTAAATAAGGGTGCGGGGTGAAACATCCTAGCGTCGATCTTGCAAGTACTACCTAGGTGGCTTTGAGGGTTATCTACTATGTAGGTACTATTAGTACTAACTAGTAGTAGTACTAGTACAACTTGAACTTGACATAACCCTCCGAGTCAGTAAACGACTCGTCATGATCTAAAGAAATTGGAAGGACCTCGGAAAGTTCTAATATACTAGTACTAGTGAATATCCATGAATACATACCTAGTAGGTACACCTGGGCAGGTACAACCCTAGATCCAAATCTTGAAAGGGTACAAAGTACCAGTATAAACTTGAACAGGAATCTTCAACTTCCAAGGTTGAAGTTGGAAATTTTGGAATGCTGAACCCACTTTTGCGAGCCATTTCCACTCTACAGGATGTCTAACCTTGGGAACTAGCAGTCTGAATATCTAGAATTCTTTGAACGTTGGAATATATGCCAATTTAACTGGAAAGCACAAATTCGACGATAATCAAAGCTGACTGTACCATGGCAGATAGATATCATTTATTCTGCTTCAAGAAGCCTAAACCCGGGCTTTACTTCATACAATTGGGCTTGTGGTTTAGTGGTATAATACTCCCTTAGCATGGGAGTGGTCCGGGGTTCGATTCCCCGCGAGTCCATTTTTTGCATTTTTCATGCTTTTCACCATCAAATCCTGATACCTGGATCTTTTTTTTCTCATTTAATTAATTACATCAATTCGTTGTGGGTGTGAGAATAAACAAAAGCACTCCTTGCCCACACTCCAAATTTCCGACCCACGACCCCGAAAAAATTCCCAGGACCTGATGGATTTCGATGGGTGGTAAAAAACTTGAAAGCTTCCAATTCAAATGCCCTCTACTAGTAATAGCTGCCTGGTATGGGCTTCAACGAAATTATTTGCCGAGTTGGCAGTCCCAGACCCCGACAGCCCTGTATTAAGGTTCGAAGTGGTGATAATCAACATCCATCAGGTGGATTCACAGTACTCCAAGGTTTCATTGCGAAAAAAGAACTTCAGACTTCAGGTCCAGCCAACGAAAGTATATAGATTCAATGGGTATCTTAGTGTGTACAAAGGGTTAAATGTTGAACGTCCCTAAAGCTCCGTGGGTTGTGACGGAACCCCCCGAGCCAGCATCCAGCATCTAGAACATAAACTCTCACTAAAAGTTAAAGGTAGAGGGGTCATTGGGGAGACTTGACAAAGCCTAGGTATCGTTAGCAAATGCGATGTAGTTGGATGCCAGGCTGTCCTACCCATGAATCAAGATTGGCCCACCATACCGAGCCATCTAAGTTCTCAAAAAGACCAGTGTCGTCAAATGGGACTCCCAGCTCGGAAGGCTGCAGCATCCCTGACATAGGGGCAAAATCCACCACTTGCGTGTTGAAGGAATCATCCCCATCCCCGCTGTTAGGGGTGAGCGCCGCCTGTTCTGGTAGGTGATCATCTGCCGCATCGTTTCTTGCCAAGCTAGCCTGGTCGTTTGATCCTAGCTGTCGGTGAACTTCCCGCCTGAGCTCCTCAAGAATAATACTGTAGCGTCGACTTGGGCAATTCTTCCGAGTGGCCTCGGCAAGATGCTGCTGACAAGTCTCAGCGAGTAAGAATAGCGAATGCAACTTATTAACGTCTGTCGGGCTTCCGGCCGAAGGGCTCGGAGCTAGGGACTGGCGGTGTTGCTGAATAATATGGATGTATACTACTAAAATGGCGCAGAAGCACACATAGTGTGTAAACCAGAATGATTGGATGAATAGCGTTTGATGCGCTAGCTCATCGACGAGGGTCATGACATGTTCTGCGGCCTCGATGCATTTGTGCACATGAGCACTGACAAGTGGATGCGGGTCCCTTGGCCGACGGCCGAGGTCAGTAAAATCATCCAGGAGGAATGAGCGAGTGACGTGAATCATGGCGTGGGAATAAGCTAGTTGAAGAACTTGGCTTTGCCGACAGAGGGGTGGAATTAAGCTCGAGGGTCGGACACTGTTGAAAAGAGGTGGTACAGTCTCCTTCCACCTTTCCAATTCGGAGGTGAGACGAACGGCTGTTTCCAGTGGCGAGTCACGCGAGTGAGGCTTTATGCTATAAAGCCGCCGAGAGATCTCGCCCAAGATGCGGCCGAGTCTATACAAAGTACCAGGGGTCAGTTCGCAAAGAAAGATCAAGCAAAAAAATCAAACCGTGACTAACCGATAATGAAGCACAGACGCAATCATCATACTGTCCGGGGATCCTGTGCGTCGAGCTGGATCTTCCTCCAAAAGATCATCGTCATTCATCTCATCCGGCAGCTCTTGGTCAATGTCTTCGTCATGAAGCAGTCGCGGCCGACCAAACATTATGCTAAGGTATTGGTCCAGAACATAGACGCTCCAAAATATGCGTTTCCTAATCTCCAATTCATAGCAGGAACCGCCCTTCTTAGAAGGGTTGCCGGCACGTTTTCTATGCAAGCCCAGTGCCGTAACCACCTGTAAAGCCGTGCCAAACGAGTACCAACACTCATTAGCTCGTGATGATGAGAGTAGATACAGGCATTGGATCAGCCGTGCCTGTATTGTCTCCAATCGAGGTGGACCGGATTCCAAAGAGGAGATGTATTTTGACGCTGCGAACCAACACTCGCTATGTGAATGGTTAGTAGATGTTTGAATCTGTATGTATCGTGATCAGAATTGCGAACCTGAGACTTTGCCCATCTTCTTGGATTTCGGAAGCATTGTTAACCGTACCGACAGCAAATATCATAAGTACGATCGCAGTTCTCGCCACCATGTTGCCTGTCGGCAGATTAGTCACCGAAGGGCGGTTCTCATACACCTGCTTGACCCATTTCTCCACGCTACCCCTGTGTAAGAAGCGGTAAGTTACCATGGAAAAGTCAAAGTAGATTGCCACTAGCTCCATGGCATTTTCGTAAGATGGCAAGGAAAAATGTATATCTTGAGGCTGGGAGTAAGGTTTGTCCCCAAACATGAAGACGGCAGTGTTCTTGGAGGACTCATTCTGCAGGTCATTGGGAATCTGCGTTTCATCCTGATGCAGGCGACTCCAAACGCGGTTGATAAACGACACGCCAGACGCTGGGCCTAGGTAGTTACCCTCAAAGTCGGTCGAGCCGGGCTCTGGCGAGTTGCGTCGCGACACAGTGTGGCGAAGTGCATGTTGGCTGCTGACAGTGTCTCTAGCCGTCGCAGTGCCAAATCTTGTGCTGTCGCCGAGAAGCGAGTCGCTAGATAGATGACCTCCTGTCTCAGAGAGTCGACGTCTGGAGGATTTTTCTGGCGATGGAGTTGCAGTCCCAGTCGCAGTCCCAGGCAGTGGATCAGGTGGGAGACCTCTCGAGTAGGCTGCGTCGTATCGGCATGGAAGTGATAGTCGGGTGCATCTTGTGCAAGGTAGGGTTCCGGTGCATCGAGTCTTTTTCACTTTACACGAGTCACAGGCCCGGGTGATCTTCTGCCGACCCGCACCATTCTTATTTGATAGTGAGCCGGAGGCTTTCCTTTTCCGACCGGGGGTATGCGCCTCTGCAGTGTCGACTACATTGTCGAGCATTCCAGGCCCAGAATCCTGCTGCGGGGGAATCCGGGCGACTATACTATTTGCGGCCATGTCGAGATCGCCACTAGGTAAAAATTGCCAAGAGATACATGGGGTGTTTGCATTTGGGCCAGAAATCCAGTACTAGGAAGCGAGGGCGAAGGAGAAGAATCCGGGGGAAGTGGGAAAAAGGAAGAGTGGACCTCAGAGACTCTCGGCTGTTCGCCTCGGGTCGTGCGGCGCGGGGCTCTCCACCCCCGGATTTATACCAAGGTTATTAAACATGAACATAACTAGCCGTTGGCCAAGAGCGTGAGATGGACCGAGGCAGACCAGGAGATTCAATCTCACAAAAAGTCATTGCAACCTGCATCTCGAGAACAGGTCACTCGAAGGATCAACACTGCAGCGGCGAGGTGGGATGGCGGCCAGTAACCGAGCTAAGGTGCCACTGCATTTAATGTGAGACTAGTCGAGACACTCTGGTTCTTTGGAGTAAACTTAAAAAAGATAAAACAATGCGTGTGTCTTTTCAATATTGAATACTTAGTTAATTGGAGGGAATTTCAAAAGAAAAAGAAAAGAAAGGGAAGTTGGGGAGATGTAAATGAATGCGAGTGGTCTATATATTAGTATTGTTGGCTCGCAACTATTCGTTCTGATACTAATCTACGACCAAAAGAAGCATTTCGATGCCAGTGCACATGAAGTCCACTTTGACGCATCCCAGAAAAAGAAAGGAATCTAGAGATCAAATGATCAAGTAGTACTGCATGCCCGATGATCTCTTTAGGACAATATTTTCAAAGTCAATTCTGTATGTGGAAGAGGACATTTGTAGTTTTATTGAAGGATATCCATCTGGCTGCTATTGCGATTTCTTTGTCACGACACAGTCCCCGCCGGTATCATCAGGTATACTGACCCTCAAAATTAAGCAATATTTCTTGGGGGTCGGTGGCTAAGAGAATCACTCGATGAACGCATTAGTTCGTATCGCAGATGGGCTCGGTTGATTTGGATTGATAAGAATATACACGCATTTGTGCATAAAACTCTTGATCCTCCATTCCGCAAGCTGTTTGGCAATTAAAGGATTCAGATAATGATGACGAGGGGGACCGGTAGCCAGAGACCAAGGCTAGGCAGAGCTTTTAGTCAACACAAAGAAGGATGCATAGATGCCTATGATGGGTACGAGAGTCCTTTCAAGGCCAATATAGGACAAAAGAGGAATCGTTTGAAACATGAGGGCAAAAAAAAAACTGCAGAATGATATCGCGTGGAAACAAAGTATGGCCGGGCCACTGCGGCCGGGCTCTTTCGGTCTTTAAGTTCAATTTCCCGGAAAGATGACGGGCAGACCATAGGGATTAAGATGATCCCCAGTAGGCAAAACTATCAAAAGGCCACCCAATCATGCTCCTGTAGCACGGATGTGGCGTAGGATCGATGTGTGTATAGGATCGCTGTGCAAGAAACGCAACCCAAAATGTCACTCCGGTGGTATGCAACGGACGCGCTTCCTGCCACCTTCCAGAAATAGGCGACGCAACGAAACAAGATTCGAAGTTATTAATGCGAATTCGGGTTGAAGTAACCCCTCATGCTGGGGTCCATCATTGGGTCCAGGTTGTGAGGTGGATGTTGAGAATTCAAAATATTCGATTGTTGGGTGGGAAGGACTTGGTCGAGAAAATTGCGGATTTCGTCTAACCCAGCACCACCACGGACAGTCTGAATCATACTCTGCAAGGAAGCCGGGTCGCCGATACGCATAAGCTCAAGCAGCGAGTCCAGGATTGTCCTAGTATCGTTCAGTTCCTCCTGTGTCCTTCTTGCGGAGGCTTTCCGGCGCTTGTCAGATAGTTCATCTGTGACGCATTCACGGCCATGAGTGACGCATTCCGTACATGGCATACCAGTGCACTAGACAGCAGAAAAAGAGTTCCAAATTAGAGAAAATAGCCACATAGCGGAAGAATGCGACCAGGGCAAAAGAAGTAGAGGAGAGGGTGGGGTGGGGGAGGTCAGAGACGGGTAGAGAAAGTGAGGGAAGGGAAGGGGGAGAACTGGGAGGTTGTTTGTACCCTTGTCCGACGTTTCTGGCATTCTTTACAGGCCGTGGAGGCCCTTTTCATCTTGGCTTCCTCTGGGGAGGGCGCCAGCACCACCTCCGGGAGGCCGGTCGCCTCCAGGACCGCCACCTGAAGGCATGGTCCGAGGAGCAATGGGCCTAAAGGCGCGCCCTACGTCGCCCATCGCGTGAGAAGACCCGTGTGGGTGGAGGTGGGTGGTAGGATGAAGAAAGGGGAGATAGAAGAGGCGAAAAATAGACAGAAAGAGTTGCTCACGGTGGTGACTAACAGACGACTCAAGAGGGACAAGCCACGATCACAGACATCGTCCATCCAGCACGAATCATATCAACAACGGGTCCGAAGCGTGAAATGTAGGACTGGGGGACTCGGGGTGGATTCAAGAGCGATGTTCACTAGTTAGCCCCTCTTCTTTTGCTGTCGCTCCGTGCAGTAATTTCTGCAGGACCAGACGCTGTGACGCACTTGCCCCGTCGAATAGCGCCAAAGGGGTAGGTGGAGGGGGGATGGAGAATGGGGACACGAAGAGATCAAGACGTGTGTGGCGGAAAGGTGGAACTGGAAATCTGACATTCTCCTACCTAGGCAAGGATGAGGGGGGGGGGTGGGCCACCCAGAGGTCCAGAAAATTCAATTTGGTTAATTCTTGCGATTTACGAGCTTGGTAATATTTAATTCGTTAAATCCGAACATCAGGAACAGACCTTGTCTATCGGACAATGGCCCCTTTTGCTTTTGAGAGATGCCACATCGGTGTGCATCTGTGTGTAATTATTTTGGTGTTGAGCCCTAGATTTTTTTCATCCTAGCCTTAAATGGAAATCCATAAAAGGAGATAGAGAGAAGAAGACCTAAAAGATCCCCTATTACCGGAGAATAATCTGTCTGTATTAAAATGGGGTTGTAGTAACTAGTGATTCTACCCGCCGCGATCTATGCGTTTCTATTTATACTGTTTTGGGGGGTGAACATCTCCTATGGCCTGGGTTAAGTACATAGGCCATGGGAGGCCGACGTGAAGGGGGCTCGATGTTGATAGGTTTGTTTTTGCGAGATCGGTTTGTCTAGACCCTGCTACTCACCGGAAAAGAGTCTTCATCTGTTGGCTCTGATGAACCCCGACTTGGTACCTAGGTACTCTTGTATCAAAACCATACACCTTCAGGGCTTCAGGGCTTCCTTCAGGTTATCTAGTGACCTCTTGAACCACGCGTGCAGCACGACAAAAGACCAGTCAATCTCTTAAATAAATTTTTTTTTTTTTCAATTTAGGGAATAGTGGATAGTTTTCACGGGTGATGGATTGGACCGGATAAGGAATCCGAAAATACTAATCCAATGATATCAACTTGTTGAAAGGCCATCATTCAAGTGTCACTAGCCCTTCCGTCGATCTGTTAAATAGGAGTTCTTACCCGATTATTGGCCCATCTTCCTGATGTTGCTAGGGGCTAAATCCAAGGTCCCTTAGGGTGTCCAGGGCTATGGCCAGTTATTAGTTAGGGCTATTCGCAATACCCTATCAATATAACTTGGAAATCTACACCCTTGGGTGTACCGCATGTTGTAAGTATCATGTGGTGCAGATACAGATACAGTACTTCACACGTTGATCTGTAACAACCGTCTGTACTTTTCGTATGTACTTACTTAGAACCGCTGATTCCCACTTCAACACCTCACATCTATACCGACACCGCGTGGCTGCTTGCTTGGCACGAGCTTCTCACTCCTCCTCAAGCAAAACTGCAACAGAGGAGCCCATAGCGTCCCCGCAAAAGGTTAGACAGTGTCGATTTGTGAAGAAGATCATCTGCATCCCATGCGTGGAGGTTCCGGGGAACTCAACGGAATGCGTTCCCCCAGGGCCGAACAGAGAACCTTTGAGATATCTGCTTTTTGCCACTGGGGCTTGCAACGTCAGAACGCAGTGCAGTCATCCCCACTAACTGAAGCATGCGAATGGCTCCACTGTGGCTGTACTGTCATCACGAGGCAGTCAAACCGTGATAACTGAGAAGTGAAGTGACAGGGTGCAGTAACCACACTAACTTTTCCGGTAGACTGCATATTCGCAGTTTCAATGAGCGTCCATTTATATTCCGTTCCATCGAGAAATGAGATTTCGAATCCTGCGGTAAAGATGAGCAAACATGCCCTCATCGGAAATCTTACCCATACTGCCGAGCGAATGGCGGGAGACAGCGGCATGAGATTCGCCACCACTAGCGCAATGTAGTCTCCCGAATGGGCGTTGTTGGCGCTACAGACCCTAACACTTAAGGGCTGGAACATCGACTCGACACCATGGCCATCAACGTCAAGACCTGATGTCTTTCTGGGGGTCATATGCTCCCCAGAGGTATGCCTTTGAGCTACGAGATGCTTTGCTTTTGCATGTTCCGAAACCACCCACTAAAAAACAGTATATTCGTTCCACACTACTAGGGCTACTAAGGGCAGACTGCCAATTTCCCGGCATATCTACATACACTGGAGTGTTTTGATCTCGATTTATTCAAACCATTGGATCATCTTGCTTGCCTATCGATGCAATAGTTACTACCTCTGTACTCCGTACGGAGTCCTCGGTCTGTATCGATTCCATTTAATACGATGAGTATTTGATCGAGATCTGATTTAGCCCCTTCCCTGAGAGACACGCTCCTGTACCAAATCTTGTCGGTCCAACCAACGCACATATCAACTTGGCGGCTGGCGGACATTCCTCAAATGGGAGAAATAATAAAACAATACGCAACGACTTGGATAACTTAGTGGGTCGTGGCGCAAGTCTTTCAGCATCATCGGCTAAGAATCCCGCTGATTTCTTTGCTCGATTAGACAATGATTCAGTAAAGTACGGCTTCATTTTCCATCATCAACCCAAGTGGTTTAATCTTCGCACAAACCACCGGTCCCAGCAAAAGTGAAGACTGGGACGGACCCCCCCCTGGCGTCCTGGAGTGGATTGTGGTACCCCTATCCTGACACGATTGATTGCGGGATATTATATCCAGTCGACCGTTATTTGCCCAGCCGAAGCGGGCTTGTCGACAAGCCCTCCAATTCTTCAGCCGATGCCCACATTCCCAGACCAGCGTTTACTATTCTAGGTTAAATGCAATCCGGCCCAACTACCGGGTTGTGAAAGCTACACTAGACTGAGATCGGCCCAATTGCCCCTGCAACGCCGGCGAGGAACCTTCCAGGACCGTGGCATAACGATCAGCGCACAAACGGCCCCCAAATGGAGGCCCACGCCCGGTTTTTGGCTTGGATCTGCTTTCTATACGAGACAATTGGATTCCAGAGTGGTTCCTGGATGTTCCTCGATCCTGGTCTCTCTGTCCGCCGCGAACTACCAGAAACCTTGGAAGATATACAAGCTTCCTAACACAATACCACATTCCTGCTCCTACTATTTAGGGCTATGAGTATTATACACTGTCTGGGCCCAGCAATATGGGAAGTCCACCTGAAATTGGTGTATAATTCTCTGCCGGAACACGTGTCGATGCTGATCTCGCCCGAAGCCAATGCAACTAACCGGCCGCGACTCGTCGAAGCGAGAAAGAAAGTTCTAGCAGCCTGTGACGGACAGAGAACACCACATCAAGAGGAGATTTGAAATACCAATGCTAGGGCAAAAGGAGCGGGGCATGTGCTTCTTCTCCCACCACCCTGCCCCTCCTTATCCACTTCGTTGTCTTAGGGCTAGATAATGACGGGATATACTACACTGCTATTTGTCTGAATAGCCCCAGAGAAGGAGAATATATCCATGATGTACTCCGCAGTTACATAGAAGCAAGGAAAAATGAGCGGTCAACCCAATTTTCGGTCTACTGTGATGTATGTAGGCTGTAAGATTGGATCATGACCCTCGGCTTGCTCATGGATATTATTTCCAGGATTACGAAAGAAAAATTGAAAACAAAAAAAGCCTCTTCCGCCGACACCGGCATCTATGTACTATGGCGCGAGGCTGAATAGTTCCACTATCTATGCAGCGGAATACATCCAAATCCAGAAGTCTCTCGTCTAATCCAGGCCACGATTGGATAAAATGCCCATCATCTCGTCAGGGTGTATCGATTCAAGTTTCCTGCGCCTGCAACCCACGTACATCCTTGTACGGTACATACACAGCGTGATATCAATGCATGTATGTTGGGATATTCCCCAGTCAGAACCTCGGAAAGTCATGGAGTATGAGTCCTTGGAATCCTTCACTCTTAGTCCCCGTAGACTACTGCTCCGTCCGGGTGCACTTGATCTACTAACCCCCCATGCAACCTGTCAAAAAGAAAGTCCAGTCCCACGTAAAGTGGTGGCGTCACAGCAAAAAAAAAGGGAATACTTGGAGCGCACGCTACTTCCCAGTCGGCGTCAGACCCCTCAAACCCGTAGAGGAAAAAGAAGGTGCAATTTTAATAAAATAAAATCGGGGGTACTATACGGATGTTTTTTACCTTGGCGCGTACGCTCCTTTCTCGCTTTCGCTTTCGGTTGTGCTGGGACCTGTGCAGGCAGGCATGTAAACTAAAGCCCACAACTTGAACCAAAGTGAGCCCGGTCTTCACTTTTTCCGTCGTCAGGCCTGCCGCTGTGGTGTTCTGGGCTGTTCGATACAGGGAGCATCAGGTATAGAACGTGACTGATTCATGCAGCAGCCTTGAACGGGTTGAAGTTGCGATATGTTTGGCTTACAGAAACCCCCCTCATCTCTTTGTTTCCGATAACGCGGTCACTGCGGTGTAGCGGGGCGTAATGCACTAGGTAAATACTAAGTACAAGCATGGGTCTCAAGTGAAACCGGTAGGCGTGGAACTCTGGTAGTAGTAAGAATTATGGATACACTAGTGGTGGTGGTAGAAGGATCATCGGGTACAACCCACCTATACCGTATGGGTCGGCCATGCTACTAGTATCAATGTGTCAAACACTGGTCGATCGGTACGAATTCGAACCTAGATTCGGTGACATAGATTCTGCGTAGCCACGGTGATCGACATGGGTGATCTCTGCGTAAATGCATCATGGCACGGGCTGATAAGACATTGATCCCCGGGGCCCCTTTTAGCCTGGGGTAATGGTTCTATGGAGGGTTTGTGAGATAAAAGGTGAAATTCGACCAGACTGGTCCTCAGGGTATTGAACATCTGGAATAAAAGCTAGGATAAACAGAGAAAGAGATATGTACGTGATAAGAAGACAAGAAAGGAAGGGAAAGAGTCCAAGTGAACATGGAAGAAGGGAAGGGAAGGACAAGACCATATCTCATACATGAAACAGGAGGATATCAAAGCAAAATGTAAAGGCTGCATATCAGAATGCAAAGATGCCCAAGTCATCACCATTGGATTGACAGGCGAGCAGACCCCGCAAATTAGTAGATTGCACGGCCTTCGTTCCAACGGCGTGATTGTCTCGGGCTTGCTGCAGACTCCACCTTGATCTCGGTAGGCGTGTGTTGACCCACATCGACATCACCGGAAGGAGAAGGTAAAGAAAATCGTGCACTGCTACGACGGGCGCTACCTTCGAGGTCGCCGCCGGTCACGCCAACACCTCCTATACCGCCAATCCATTCCCAAGACCGCGCAACATCGCCGCTACGGCCTTCACGTACGGCGGCTCGGACATTAGCGTTACCTTCGACAATGCGCTGCACGCGGCGCCATAGTTCTTCACGCCGTTTCCCATGCAGCTCGGAGCGGAGAACATCGTCCCGCATCTGGCCGATTGGGATGTAAGGCTCCATTGCTCCCCCCGCGTGCGTGGAGTGCAGCTTGCGTTGCGAGTCGGTCAAGGCTGGTCGCCACCAACTCGGGCACACGGGCGATATCTTTGCGGCGGGCAAGAACCCGAGCGCGTGCATAAGCCAAACCCACGAGACCTAAAGCTAGAAGTGAAAGAGGGAGTCGATACGCGAGGAGAGCGAGTCGGACGTAACGGCGGGCGGCGCAAGTGAGTGGGAGTCGGGCAGTGGATGTTGATGTGAGGACGAGGACGGCGGAAGGTCTGTAATTGCGAAGGCGTTTCTGTTAGTTCCGGTAACACCATGTCAGAACCAAGATCTTCATAAGAAATAGCCGATGGTTGTATGAAGCCCGGAACGAAATGCGTGGCAAGGCAGACATGAGAGATATCTCGGCGAGAGGTTTAACTTACTGCTCAGTTTTGCTAATGATTTCGTCCTTATCAAGGATCTCACCAATTGCTCCTTTCCAGAGGTCATCAAACTCGGTGTCACTGAGGCCCTTGCGGCGCATCTTCGCAACTTCTTCCTTGAGCTTGGGTTCGGGGATCTCAGGAGATGCGTCCTTGCCATCTTCCTGGAGCTGACCGCATTCCCACTTGGCCCTTCGATCACGAAGCTCTTCTACGGCCTTATCAGCGACAGCCTTGACACGACGCGCCTTTTCGCTATCAGCTTCACAGGTTGGTGGAAGTGGAATGATCCCTCCCAACGACAGAGGGTGTGGCTTGAGGAGGAAATCGTGCTCGCAGACAGCCTTGAATTCCGGATAGCAGAAGGCATGAGGCGGGCATGGCTCGCAATGCGGCTCCAGAACATTGGCCCATTCCGGGACCTGAGTCTCTGCTATGGACCAGGTGGGTTTTCCAAGACCGCAAAAACCAATCTCAATCTTTTCTTTGCGCCACCAAGCACCGAAGCTTCCAAGAATACCAAGAATCACGAGCCATGAGGCAATGTGACTAGTGGATCCCTGCTTCTGCTTGCGCTTACGGACTTGTGTGAGCGGTGCATATTGCTCCGTCTCCATGGCAAGCTGTTCTTCTGGAGTGAACTCTTCACTGATACCAACTTCGTTCTCCTCATAATCCGCCTCTTCCTCCTCTTCAGATTCCTCAGATTCTTCCTGGGGAGGCTTCAAGCGAGAAGCAAAGTCAAACGAAGCTCTTGTGGGGGCCTTGATAGCATTCTCCTGCTTGAAATTGGTAGGAGTAGCTGACTTCCTAGACCGCAAGCCGCTCTTCACCGGACTATCCGTCGATAATCGCCCACCACTCTTTCGCTTCCCATCGTAACTTGAAGTCCTACCCCGCAGGCTATCAGAGGGACTCCCGCTTTGAAACGGATTGTCGTCCGTGAAGGGATTTTCATCCCGAGGCTCCGCCTTAACAGGCGTAGTTTCATAAATCTCCGTAGAAGGAAGGACCGGCGCCTCGCTGCGCCGTATCTTCCTTGCCGTAGACTTACGCGGCGAAACATTGACAGCCACAACGGGAGTAGCCATAGTGTCGTCGCCGGTTTCCGTGTCGGAGGCACGTGGGTGCTTACCCACTGAACGTGGAACGGCGCTTCGTCGCCTCGAGACAGTCGCAGGTGTAGCCGGTGCCAGATTTTCATCAGTATCTGCGGTCGATGCGCGGGTACTTCGTCGTGCGGTGCCGCGTCGGGTCGTCGATGCTACCGTCGATGGCGTCCGTGGTGGAGGCATGGAGTCGCGTTCTTCGTCATCGTCGCTGGTGACGGAAGTGGAGCGGCTGCTCATATCGGTGATGCCGGCGCTCGTCCTCCTCACGCGCTCGCGATCCCGTAGGAGCTTTCTTGCTTGCGGGAGGACCTCATCTTCCAGGATGCGAATCAGTTGGGCCTTTTTTGCCGAGGCAGGGTAGGGAATGTCGTGATTGACGAGGATAGAGCGGAGACGGGGGACGGTGAGGGAGTTCAGGTCGAAGCCCGACTGAAGAAAGTCCAGTTCGTCCGCCATGGCGTGTGGTGTGAGATGCGCGGGGGGGTTGGTAGTGATGACGGTGATGCACAAGCCGCTAACAGAGACTATTCGGCCGCGTGCCACCAGGTGTCGACAAGGATGGTGTAATGGCGCAGGTGACGTTCAGTTCGGTTTCAAAGACGCGCAGAGGGGGACCACCGATCGCTCCTTGATTGAGAACTTGGCTTGAAGGGGGGCCGTGGGAAAATAATGTGGGTTGTTTGTCCACTTGTCAATTCAAGCCAAGCCGGTTGGTCGGACTCGTAGTCAGGGCAACAGGCGGGGCCGAGAAGGAAGCTGTGATGATGGGCCTTACTATGTTGCTTAGACGGGGTGTGATATTATATTTTTAAATATCAAAGCTGATAAACGCTTACTTATGGAAGCAGGAAAGACAGTAAGAAGTTGAATAAGAACAGCAAGAGTTGCCGCGCCATGACGTAAAGAAAAACAAAGCACCCTAGATCACGTGATTACATAGCAAACGCATTCAAGTGTACATACACTCCAAATTCAAATACTAGGTCTCGGTAACTAATATGAATAGTATCGCTATATGAAGATTCGAGATTAGTATAATTATAAATATGTAAGTAGATATGTCTCAACGCGTAGTCCTCGCATTAAACATCTATAAACAGTAAGTTGAGAGATTCGACCAAAATGCTACATAGATGTAGCTTCAAGGTCAACCAATCACAAGCTAGGTACTAGTACTTTTAGGGCTACTCCCAGCAACCACGATACCTGAAATCTTAAAGCAAAGTTTATTATAGACAGAAACAGGTAGGAATATGTTCACATTTCAGAGCTAGTACACGCTCAATGGAGGCCGAAAGCCATCAAGATACACGAAGCAAGTGTAATAGACAAAAAAGACAAGAAAGAAGAGAAGATCCAACCCTGGGCTCCATGCCTTGATGCTTGTGTGTAAACCAAACCAAAACCAAATCAAATCAAATAAAATTATCAAGACTCCCCCTCCCCGCCAATGAGACGCCGCCCATCACAAAATAAGAGAGCCCGAGGAATTCAAGGCGAAAAAGGAAAAAGAAAAGGGTTCGATCTCATAGCATGCGCAAGGATCGTCAAAGCTGACCCTGCGGGACTTGGCTGGTCTTGTTTGATCGATCATCGATCGCTACGTTGAGAATCGAAGGAGCGAGTGTCGAGGGTGTTGGGGATGTGTAGGAAGGAGGAAGAGGCGGATGTAGAAGTGCTTTCCATACTCGCAGGGGGGTGCATGGGAAGACCACCATACTGAGGGGCGGGGATGCCAGCAGCCCCAATAGCCATTTGTTCCTTGAGAGCGCGGTATTCGGCGAGTTGGGTCGAGAGCTGTTGCAAGACCTCACCGATCGGCACTGCGTGGTCTTCGAGACGATCGCCGGCTCGGAAGGGGCGCATCATGTGGCGCACGGAGAGGGTGTTGATCGTTGCTTCGATGCGGGTGACTTGTTGGTCGACGAGGCTGACTACGGTGGAATCGTTCAATTCGCCTCCGTGGTTCTTGACCATGTGGAAGAGAGCGACGTTTGGCTCTCGGAGTCGTGGTTCGCTTGGGTTCTCCAGTGCGCCGCAGAGTCGTTCCAGGCGGAGGGTTACTTCCCATAGGCGCCAGATCAGGTCGGTCTTGAGATCGAGTTCCGAGCCCGGTGAAATAATGGCTGGGTTGTTTTCTGGGTCTTGTACCTCCTCGGACGCAGTCATCCGGCCGGCGAGTGAGTGCGGGTAGACAAGGTACAGTGGCTCGGGATTCTCGAGTCCCTTCAGCTTGCGTTCACCTTGGTCTTTGATCACGAAGCCTTGGCTGTTTAGCTGTTGCAACTCACGCCGGATGGTATGGCCCAGGCTATCCATGCGTGGGTGGCTTTCTGTGGAACTGGTCGATGCAGAGCGCTCAGCGTCGGCAAATACCTCGAGATTGCGCTGAATGTCGCTCATGAAGTCCGAGGAGACGAAAATCTGACCTCCATCGGCAACAGCAGAGATACGAGATGCGCGATTGACCATTGGACCAAAGTAATCCATACGGTTAGTCACTGGGTCATTTTCGCAGACAGGTTCACCCCAGTGTCCACCCATACGAACAGACAGACCGCGGAATATGATATTGTTCTCCATATCATAGACGATGCGACACTGTGGCTGCTCAAGAATCTCCGTGGGCCATTCAGCCTCAAGTAGCTGGATCTGGCAGTTGAAGCACCAGAGCAGTGCCGCAGTTGTAGAGTTGAAAGCCACCATGAAAGCGTCACCTTCAGTCTTAACCTCATATCCACCAATGATTCCGAGTTGACGTCGAAGAATGTCATTGTGAATCTGGATAGCTGAACGCATCGCATCGGGGCATGTTTCCCACAGACCAGTGGACTTCTTGATATCAGTGAACATGATAGCAAGTTCGCCAATTGGAGCATCGACGCGATCAAATCGAGCTAGACGAGAGTCTCCCGGAACATCACCCTTGGGTCTCTTGCGGAGCTTCGACGTCTGAACAATCTGGTCGTCGGGGAAGGCAGAGCGCTCTAGGTTCATGCTAGGCCGAGAGAATTTCTTGTTTCGCTTTTGCAACTCACTCACGCCAAGAACCATGACCATGATTTTATTGGTCGCACCGAAGGAGATTGCCAAATCCCGCAGTTTCTGCGCGGCGTACATGAGATTCGGATGCGCACCCCTGGTAGCATCAACAACAAGTTCAGGTGCCACATAATCCCACAACTCTTTTGAAGCAATGATGATCATTTCATCTTGCTCGGTCAGTTTCGTGTGCAGGGTGGCCGGGGCTGCAATGACGGCTGGCATCATTGGGAAATGACCGAAGCATCTGGACACAGGAAGAACATCGTTGAGCTTTCCATTGCGAGCCACAAAGCCGCCAGCCGCCCGTATGCGAGCTCGCTCGCTCGACTCTGCAGGGTCATGGACTTGTGTTAAGTTTCGGAGCGAGCCGTCCGACCTCACAAGAATTGCTTGTGCGTCACCGACATTGGCAGCGTACAAATCCATGTTGTTCAGATAGAGGACGGTTGCGACACCACCAGCCTGAATATCATCTTGGTTGAGCTGCTTTGTATTGGATGATCTGCGATTGTATTGCCGCAGCTCGCGATCATCAATGGATCTGTAGGCAGAACCTGCCATATTCTTGTTCAATGCCAAGAATGTTCGTCGCAGTGCATCGAGCGGCGTCTCATCCTGATCTGGCTGGAGTCGTTTAAGCTCATGGGAGAAGGTTGGAGTGAAATGCTCATGCAAATACTTCGCAACGCGAGAACCGCCACTTGACATCGTCGAACCGTCAAACATCCCGACAAGAGTTTCAATCTTGTCCGGCTTCAGGCGTGGTACAATCATGTCGATGATGGACAGATGCTCAGTTTTGCCGAGTGTGTCTGCCATTCCATATGCAAGTGAACCAGCTAGGGAGGCAGAAGTTCTCACGCGGCGATCCTCATTCTCTTCAGGTATGGTAGGAATGGTCAAGGTGACATCCATCAAGCCAAGGACACGGAGATGGGTCAGAGACGTAAAATCAGTCAGATCAGCACCATTGGTGACTGGCTGACCCAACGAAGCAATATTGGGCTTAATTTCCAGACGCTTATTGCCCGAGAAATTCAGGTACTTCAAGCTTCTGTTCCAGTTCCAGTTCCAATCATATGGCCAATTGGAGACGTTGTACTTCAGCATATTACTGCCCACGTCGAGAATGGATAGCTTGCTGACTTTGCATAATTCTGCCGGGAGCACTTGGAAGCGATTTGCGTTGATATGCAGGACCTTCAGATTGCTGCCTTCTTCCAAGTCATCGGATGGGAGTGACGTCAACTCATTTCCGGACAGATAGAGCTCCGAGATCCAGGGCCATCTCTTGAGAACTCCTTGGGGCAGTTCTGTCAATTCATTGTAAGACAGGTTGACAATCCGCAGTTCTGGAAGACGGGCGAGCTCGCGGAAAACCTCGTCATCCAACCTATTGTCGGCAAGATAGAGGTTTCGAAGAGAACCTGCAAATGTCAGAGCGGCAGCATGTTGCGAGAAGTTTGAATCCTTCCGAGATGATGAGCTCCCTTCCGTAGCATTAGAACGCGATGCGGTAGACACCTTCCGCCCAGAATGTGACTGTCCAACAGATGGCGCGACAGAAGCATTTCGGTACGAGGTATTAGGGGACGAACCAGACGCCAAAGCTCCACTGGAATTTTGACTGGGCCTACGGCTGTCTGGCTCATTGAGAGGACCGAGATCCTCGTAGGTGGGGTTCCCGGTGAGTGCTGGTGTTGAGACAGGCGTCGTGGTCGGTTCACCAGGCACCAAGGGCAGTGGTGCACCGTGCTTGGGGAAGGTGGTGAGCAGATTTGTAGACACGTTCAATGTTTCCAATTTAGCACAGTGCCAGATTTCGTCTGGCAGGGATTTCAAATTGCACTCGCGAAGATTGAACTCCTTCAGTTCCACCAGACAACCGATCTGTGGGGGGATAAATCCGAGTGGATTCTTGATAATGCTGAAGTGTTCCAGGCGGCGCAGTTTTCCAATCTGTGCGGGGATCGATGACATATGGTTCTTATCAACAATGAGCTTGGAAACATTCGGCATATGATCGAAGATGGCATCCTTGAACGCGGACAGGTTGGCGGATGCAAGGTTCAAGGATGACAATGTGGGCATATGAGAATCGATGTCAAACTGCGTCAAGGGATTATGGTCCAAGTGCAAGCTGCGTAATTTGGGCGCCGAGCCTCGGAAACGCGAGATTTGATTGTGACCAAAGAACACCTGCTCGAGCCTTGGAAGTCCGCAAAGATTATCGATGCTGGTGATTGTATTGAATCGCCCATCAATCTCCCTAAGATTGACCAACTGTTGGAAGGACTCATCAAGTGGCCCGGTGATGTTGTTGTTTGTCATCCAGAGACGCTCAAGAGTGGTCAAGTTTCCAATGGAGGGGACGCTCTCGATGTTATTGAAACTTATATCAAGATCAACCAGGGCTCGAAGCTTGCAAAGGAATTCAGGGAAAACCTTGAAGCTGTTAGATGACATGTTCAAGCTTCGCAAGTACTGGAAGTCACCAAAATAGCTTGGTAGTTGGGTCAACTGATTGTTTGCCATTTTAATGCTCACTAGACCAGTGAGTCGATCCAACTTAGCATGCTCCAAATCTTCCAAGACGTTGTTCGACACATCCAAGTAGGTCAGCCGACTGGCCAGACCGAAACTCAGTGGAACTTGCGAAGCCTCGTTGCCAATAAATTTGATCTCGCGCAGGTTGATACAGCTTTGAATGAAATCTTTCGGGACGTCCAAAGACAAATTCCTGGATAAGTTCAAAGATATGATCTCTGAAGATTTCTTGTAGAGGGTGATGGGGATGGTGACGAGACTTCGACCTTGGAGATCCACATGGCTGAACTTTTGCATCTTGTTGAACCCAGGATCTGCCTCCAAACTTGTATACCCACTCAGCTTTGTGGGCAAGAACACCAAGCGGCAGAGGTAACTGTGGTCTTCACGGCCGATATCTTCAATGCGGTCTTTCTCGGTGTATCCAACCTGCTCTAGGAGCTTCTTTTGCATCAAGATCGGTTTCTCTTTATGGTCAAGCTGGCGAGACAGATCATTCTTTCGTAACACAATCTCATAATTATTGAGATGGTCCTGTAAAAAGGACTTCTTCCCAAGCATGTAAAGGATATCTGCAACAGTCGTGTTCAGACCAGCCGAGAGCGTGGCAAATGTCAAATCGATCCGGAAGACTCGAATGAAGTAGGAGGCACCGTCCCGCTCTCGTGTTCCGCTGGCGGCTTTGGATTGACCTTCCGCGGCTTCTGCCATAATATCCGCTTGCTTCTTGACATGCCAGCTATCTGGTGCGTGCCAGCTATCGGCGCCTTCTTGGTCACCTTCCTGCAAGGGGTCTGGCCGGACCGGATCTTCTCGCGGGGTTATTGTGCCGTCGGTTCCACGAGGCATGCGGCCGGGACCCGGGGAAGCTGTACGCACACCCCGCATATCGTCTAGGTCGGTATCCAGGGAGAAATAATGTTTCCCTTCCTCGCCGTGTGATGTATTGCCTCGCGGCGGGTGAATATCTCCAGCCAGATTGCTGAAGCCTCGCCGAGGAAACTTTCGCCCTCCAATGCCCAGGCCCTTCCCAGACTCTTTTTTGCGCTCTGAATCGGCTGTGTCTAAGCGAGGAGTGGAGGTTCCCTCGAGGCTGCCCTGTCGACGTCTATTTGGAGATTGTTCACGCTTTGGCTTGTCGTGGTGTGGTTTGTGGCCAGGCAAAAACCGACCGATCTTGCTCAAAATATTCTGTTTATTAGGAGGACCCCCTGGAGAAGTGTGAGTAGTACTATGGTAGATAGCACTCTGGACACTGGGCGTCGGGCTTGTTGATCGACCTCCAAGGTTGGTCGTCGAGCTCATAGCAGTAGAAGAATTGAGATGACTATCCTTATGGGGCTTTAATCCGACGGAGAAATCATCACGCCCGCCAGAGGGGCGGTCGTGATAGCCAGAAAATTGGTAGTCTGCAAGGTCACCAGCGAGAGTGGGCTTTTCTTCTTTGCTTCGAGAATGGCGGTGGCCATTGGCTCCGCGTCGACTCGAAGAATCTCTGTGTACAGAGCGCGCCTGACTTCCTTGGGAATTCTGGCGCTGACCATCAGGGCCAATGGGAACTTGTCGGACTGGTGCCTCTCCATACTGTGGGATGTCGTTGAAGCTTTGATACACCCAGGGAGTTATATCACTTGAAGGCAAAGGCGTCTCTGCTCGTGAACGAGATTGTCGCTGAGAAGCTTCAGATCCGTCAGAGTTGGCCCTTTCTCGAGCGCGCAATTGATCAATTGGGCCCCCTCGTCTGCTGGGCGGGTTCGTTCCGTCCCCAGTTTCATCAAGCGGATAATCTTCACTGACAGAGCCCTTTGGTTTCTTCTTCATGAACTTTGCACTAAGACTCGATTTTGACCCGGTGCTGCTGGTCATGCTCGTTGTAGAAGGCCTGCGGTATTCTCCATTATACTCCAGTTCCGCCGGTTCGCTGGAAAAGGTGCGTCCGGTTGTAGGGCGAAATGTAGCGGATGCAGGCGAGGCTTCGTGTTCCGAGAAATCATTGAAAAAGGTTCTTTGGCCATCAGCGCCAGCGCTTATCGCCCAGGGAGCTATCGATTCGGACTCGGTGTTCTCGTTGAGGCGGGGTTGGTTGATGGGTGGGGGTCGCGGGCTGTTGGAAACGGATCGAGAGGCTTCATCTCCAGCGCCAAGGACAGCGAGGGCCTTTCGATGATTACTGAAGCCGGATCCTTTGCGCTCTTCGGTGGGGAGACTTCGGGAGAGCTCCATGACCACATGGAAGCGCCCCAATCGATCTTGGTAGCCTGGGATGGCTCGGACCTGGCAGGAGTTTAGCGTTCGCAGCTTCCTGAGAGCTCAGGCATCATGACGTTTCATGATTTGGGACCTAGCTGGAAGGCAAAGGGGAGCTTACTTGTCTGTCAGGGTACCTGGGAAGGGCTCGGCATTGCGACCGTCAGAGGCAGTGCTATCCTGGAGCGTGCCATCGCTGTTTCGAACGGTCGCCTGTGAAATCCAACTGTTTCCCGAGCTCGCTGAGCCCTGCCGGTCGGGTTGCTCGTGCTCTTGCACGGGCATGGCTGGTCCCAGACACGGCCGATGCCCTCGACAGGGAGCTAAGTCAAGTCACTGCCTGCGACAGGGTCTGGGGGTGTTGTGAAGGATCAATGTCGTCCACCATCAATGGATGCAGGCTGTGTTGAATGCGCCGGGGCACGGGGGAACTGGAGCGTGCGGTGTCGGCAACGTCGTCGCGGATGCTTGCGCCACAGTATAAAGCTCGGACCCAGAAACGCGGTAGAGTGTCGTAATGATCAGAGAGTCGTCGAGACAGGAATCACTCGGTCGGAGATGGAAGAATGCAGGAATAGAGGATGTGGATGGTCGCATAGATTGAACGGAACGTATGGGATGCGGACCTCTGAGACAAGGCGCGTCGTCGCAGCTGCGAGGTGAGCGACAGGGTTGACGGGGCGTTAGGGCGTTAGGGATGGGGACAAGGTCAGGGAAGGGTAGTAAATCAAATCGCTAGTATCTGTCCTGGTCACCAAGCTCAAAGTCTAGGGCAGCCATGGAACATGTTGGCGTGGAGAGGTGGTGTGTGAAGGTACCGAGTGGGAATCCGGCAGAGTGGGGAGGGGATAGGGAGAGACGGAGAGAGAGACGGAGACGGGAGAGGGGGGTGACTAGGAGGAGTAAGACGGATCGACAGGAAAGGTCGGATGTAGGACCGTGAGATATTCGAGATGGGTAAAGACGAGACAAGGTGAAGGTCGACGGGGCCGCAAAGGTCAGAAGGATGGGAGGATGGAGAGAGTAAGATGCGAGGAAGGCTATGAGGCTCTGACAGTAGAAGAGCTTTGGTAATAATGTGATTGGTCCAGAGGAGGGATGGTATCACGACTGGTTCATTGATTGGGGAGAAGTACGGAGTACTGCAAACATGAACATGGACATGGACATGGACATGGACATGGATGTGAGTTATGGGTATGGGCATGGATATGGATATGGGTACTCTGAGACTCTGGAGGGGAGATGGTCCGTGACGTCCGTGCTGCGTTCGGTGGAGCTGTGGGAATCTGCTGAATCGGTGGTTCATCACTTCATCCTGGCTCATCTCTTGGCATCTACTACAGAGGACAGAGTACTCTGTACGCTGTACTCTACCAAGTATACGAGTATCTGATCTTTCAATACTCCTGTCCATCAATCACCCCCCCTAGTCCCATACTCTCATACTGCTTTACACTCTACCCCACCCCCCTTGCCTCCTATCAACCCGATATGCGTTGTCAATCGAGTCGACTAACTCCACGTGGATCATTCTGGCCGGGGAATGGGGAACAGGAATGGGAAATGGGAAATGGACCGGTCCATTTTTTAGTCAAAAGGGGCTGGAACCTCATAAGACAAGTATCCAATAGCCATGCTCACATCCATCTATTTTCAGGTCCCGTTCATCTAAATAGGAGGTGACCCCCAGAAGCAAACATCCAAATCAAACTTTGAAGAAATAGACCTGTCTCATACCTAGGTACCTAGTAGGTATATGTAACGATCTCCATTCCCAGTCACTCGGTAAATCCGATAATCTGTGTCCGCTAGCCTCTCTCGAAAATGAGTTACTGTCCCCACGGCGCAGGCGAGGCAGTACGGAGTAGATCAATCTCTTTGACCCTGCAGTCTTTTTTTTTCCCCCTTTTATTTTCTTCTTTACGGAGTAAGCCACAAGAGGTTTCGTTTCAATGCTCTCAGACTTTGCTTTTCCTGGCTTAGGGACACCCTAATATCCCAACATCTCCTTAGGTATATGCCGCCGCTCACCCTACCATGAGTGTTTCGTCACGAATAGACCAGTCAGATCAGCAACATCATTGGATCACTCATAGTAGACCTAAATCTATATGACTTGATTTTATGCAAGGAAAGGAGCAACTTGCAGTGGCTTCATGTGTGAAGAAAGAGTCCAAGATCAAACGCACCTGGGCACTAGGATTGCTTGGCAGCGCCATTTGGCTCGATCTCTGGTACTACCTGGATCGTACTTGAAAAAAATCTAAAAATCCTAGAGGTATTCACTGGCAGTAGATCAATTAGTTTGCGTAGGTAGGTATTTTACCTGACAGCCATGGAGTACTCCGAGTCGACAGTGGTTCAGAGCTCTGATACTTTCAAGGAATGTAGAAAAGTACTCACTACTACTATGACTCTAGTAGTATTTTCCTATGCTGGTGCCATGGGTATTTGAAATGTGTATCTGTACTCCAGGGCTCCTGCCAGGGACTCGGAAGTATATACTAGTACCTAGGTATCCATACCCAGGTAGGTAGGTAGTATTGAATGAAGCTGTGCACCTTACCTTCAGTAGACTTCAGCCTCCTTAATTATTACCATAAGATAACACTGGCACTTCAAGTTGCCAGCTTGAACCTTGGAAACTTGGAAAACCACCTGAGCAAGTAGCGGCAAGCCCGCCTGTCAATAATATTGTCTTTAGGAAAACCCATTGTCCATAATGCCATCCCATCACCAAGCGGATAAATTCCACGTTCTTTGTCGGAGACCCGAATGGAGAGGCCGATGTCAGCCTTGCCCCGCCGGCATCAGCCACACAGCCCCGCAGTGACTCACGTACAAGCAGATGATCAATGGGAGATGATTTCATGAAGATGAAGATCTGTAAGACTTGCTTTGAGGTCTTGCCAAGGTGTCCTGTCCACTCCACATCAGTCTAGATGTGATCTTCTTTTTCTGCGGGGGGTCCAAGTTTTGTCATAACGGGGCGGCGGGAGTGGTGCTCCACAAATATACAGTATAGTATAGTACAGTGTAAGAAAATGAATGAACCAATGTCTTGACGGTTTTAAGTACTAAGGCGGGGAAATTGTAATCACAACCAACTTCATTCATCATGGCTATCTCAATCCTCAAAGGAGATCAGAAGCGGGTATACATAAGAAATCAAAATCTCAAGAACAAAGGAAAACAAGGAAAATCATGTTTCGGTTTCGGTTTCGGGTTCTGTTTCTCCTTCGATCCTCCAAACAGGTAACGAATGTATGTATGTTTCTCCATAAAAGAGTGAGTCACAAGCATCAGAACCAATAACAACGTGCACCAGGAAAGAAAACATGCATGCAGCCAAGAAGGAAGAGAAGAGACCTTTCACCTTCCAATTGGCTCTGCTCCACACCCCTCCCCGGCAGAATGCAGGAGGGACAGGGTCCCGAGCCAATAATGGCGCGATCAAACACGCACAAAGAACTATACAGAAGCTCAAGCAACAAGGAGAAAGTGAGTATTCGAGTCATATTCCTCCAAAAGAAAAGACCAGATCGTTTCCGATCTGGGTGTCCGACTAAACCAAGGTGGTCTCTTTCCGGGGCGCATCCAGGCAGGCCCTGAGCCAATTTCCCAAATTTTCAAAGTCAAGGACGTAGGGCAAGCTGTTGTGGGTGTTTAGTTACTCCCCACAACTGGCAATGACCGGCTTGCGGTCTTGCTATGGGGAAGGGTGCAGTCAATGCCCCCCTTCCCAGAGCGTCGGTTGAAGTGAATCTTTCCAAAGCAATTGGGGGTGTTTCATAATCGTAGTAGGTAGACGACAAAGGCACATATAAATCATCAGGCATTGAAGTTGTTGATCAACGGTGGTAGTCGGATCGGCGCTTGATGTAGGTAGATTCGTAGCGGCGTTCAGCGCGGTCCAGCTGGTCAGAGCCGTACAGCGAGCCTCGACTCGCTGGGCTACGGCTGGTCGAGCTGCGGGGGGACTGGTGAAGGACGATGCGATAGTTCTTGACCTTGCCAGAGGTGCTACCGCTGGAGCTTCCGCTGGAGCTGCGAGGCTTGCGGGTGATGATCGTTGGCGAGGCGGGTTCTTCTTCGGGGGAGAAGGAGCGTGGGCGGCGTTCAACGGGTTCGCGGACTGATAGACGAGGACGGACATCGTAGGTGCTATCATAGCTGTCGGTGGGAACAGGGACGGTCGAGTCGCGGGAAGGAGGGCGGACAGCACGGGTACGGCCTCGACGAGAGGCTCGCAGAAGGAGACCTGCCTCGATTCCCTCGAGCAGGTGGAGGGCGGACTTGGCTTCACGGGGTAGCTTGACTCTGCGGATCTTGCCGTTCTCGCGGTCGACTACAGCGAAATACTTTCCCCCTTGACTGTATAGATATTTGCTGAGATCGATGGCGTAGGCGTTACCGCGTTCACAGAGGGTATCGTGAGAGGCATCGAGGGCGTCGGTGCACTGGGAGCAGCGAGCAGTGTGTTGTTCGAACTGAACGAGGACAAAGCGTTCGTCGCCTTCCAGATCACGGACGACGGCGGGGGCAGAAACGATTTCGACTGATCCAGGCATCTCGGGTGAATGGCGACTCCCAAAGAGACGCCGAGAGTGAGAACGAGGAGAATTGTCTATGGTGGCGGTGGTGGGGTTGATAAAGTAGGTGGAAGAACGTTGAGGAGACACGGTGAATGATTCTTTGGTAGTCACGCGAGAGAGGGCGAGTGACGAGGAAGTAGATATAGATGTGGGGGTGGATGATCGAGTGGGTGGCAGGTGATTGAGTGTACTATGCTCTTGTATAGTAAAGTAGAGTAGTAATGTATGATCGAATGGCTTCAGAAGAGTGTGGTGTGGAAGTGAAGAAGATGAGGGGCAGGAGGAAAGTATATATAGGAAAGAGTGAAAGTACGTAGAAGTAGTAGACAAGGCATACCCACCGATCCACGAGTGGTGCCTGGTGGGAACCACCACCGCCCTAGACCAGGATTAGTGGGAATCAGTACCAGCATTGACGGGAGGCTCTGTTCTTTCCTAAGGTTCCCTTGGAGCAGGGTACCCACTAGTCCCGCTATTTTGGTATGGCACAACAGGTACTTTATTCCTCCTCCACACCCATGCTTAGCGTGTGGCACAGTCAACACCGCCGCATTGGCCCTGGTCATCGCTTTGATTGGTTGTACCCCCCCTGTAATGACGGTCTATGCTGCTTTCCCTTCGTCCTTCTCATGACGGGCGCTTTGTGATGCACGCTTTGTTCTGTACCCTGCATCACTTGCAGTAATTCTCCTTTCCACTCTCGTTCCCCGATTCCTTTTTTTTTCTCTAACTTTTTTCCCAGGCCACTTCTCAACCTTTGCTGCCTGGCTCAAAGGACCGATGTCATCATTGGTGAGGGTCTATCCCAGCACTTGTGGCTTGACTGGCTCGTGTTCCTGCGCCGACGGTGGAGGGTCTCGTGTTCCCTCCATCAGTGATCATCCCCTGACGGCCGGAGTACAGAACAGAACAGAACAGAACATGTTCATGTCACTTGAACTAATTTAGTTCCACACCTGAACTTTCATCCAAGGCCACTAATTCTAAATGACGTCCCGTTTGATCTGGCGCTGACCCGCCCTTCTTCCCGCCGCTCATTTGTTCTCCGCATGCGCGTTTCCTCCAGCGTCTCCCGAGACATTCCTACAATACTCGAAACATTCGTTCATGCAACTCGAATTGACCCTCGATAATTCGTACGGAGCCTCAAGATAGAATTCTATGGATGTGCCATTTTTGGCACAAGACCAGTGTTTCATTATTTTTACGAGGTCCTAAGAATAGTTGACGATCTCTGACCCGAATGTTTTTGGACCCCAAACTATCTTCGACCCCCCTCTTCACTCAACTCAAGCCTCATCCTGCTCCGCCGCAAGCCACACCTCTATTCACCGTCATCCAGTCTGACAGAGTCTCTTCTTTCTTTTCCCTCAACATTGCTCAGCCTCAGCCACAAGTTCCGCTTATCGTCCGACTTGATTTGACACACTAGCCACTCCGTCCGCTCCCTCAATTCCGGCTTTCCTCCTGCTTACTTCCCCCGGGCGATGTCTCCTCATCCCCGACCCTAGCGCCGCACACCTTCTGTCAGGGGGTAACCGAGGAGGCTTTCCCTCCCCTATCAATGACGAGAGCGTCCATGATTTGCAGAACGCTTAACGCGCGCCATTTCTCTAACAATTTTCTTACAAACCTCAGTCTGCCTTGGAGGCGATAACCAATTGCTAATCCCAATTCATAGGCAATCTCGTTCTAGACACCTGGTCTTGGGCCGTGCGCCAGGCCACGCCCTTTTCTCCTCGAGTCTCTTGGACAATATTTCACGCATGTCGATTAGACTTTGCTGCATTACGCGGTCCCTTCCCTTTCCTTGTAGCCCGGCACCCGGGCGAACCTGGTCCCACCTACGGAGTATACCCTACTCTACTACATGCATCTGCAGGCCCTAGGGAAGGGAATTGAACTTCTCAACGCCCATCTAAATCGTTCCTCGACTTTGACCTGCAACAAGCCCTGCCGGGCTAGCTCAATCGGTAGAGCGTGAGACTCTTAATCTCAAGGTTGGGGGTTCGACCCCCCCGTTCGGCTATTCCTACAATCAATACCTGAGATATCTTTTTTGCTGGATGAAGAAGTTTTGCCTGTGTGGTTTGTGAAGAATTTGAGCTCTGCTAAGTGGTTGAGTTGCATCCAAGACCCACTAGGTGGGTCGGGCCGGGATAAGGCAAAAAAAACCATCAGCCCTGTACTCTGTACTCTGTATACTGCGTATGTAAAGATTTAGTCAGATGAATACGACCTTTTGTTTTTTGGTTAGGTTTAGGGAAAGGAAGCTGGTGGCAAATCCTCTTGATTCAGAAGAAAAAGCAAAATTATAGGAAACAAGATTGATGCCTGCACTTGTGGTTGGTGAGCCTGGCCCAAGCGCAAGGCAGAACGTCCCACTATCCCTGATCAGGTGTGAAGGTTCTGACTTTCAGCTGAGCATGGATTGTTCGGCATTTGTCAGGGTAGGCATCAATCTTCTCGTGATTGTAAATCTGGTTAGTTGGTAATCAGCGGGGGAAGTTTCATACAAGGTTCAAGTTATAGGTAGTACCTTATTCCGTGCCACCCTTGAAGCTACTCGTATACCCTCTGCTTACTTGAACAAGAGGTTGTAGCTTTTCATCGAGCAGGAAGTATACTTTTATGCTCTAATCACATATTTAGCTGACCTAATATCCACATTCCTCACTTACTTCCAGATTCCTAGTGATGTACATAACCACATTTAGCGGTTGCGGTTACGATTGCGGAGAAAGGTCCAGGACCACGGTTCTACCGCAGGCTATCTGAGAGACCAATACATATTTGGCAACATTTAGACTACTAGTCGTAACTATGAAATCATCCTGGTGCTCCCAGTAAAGAAAAACTCCAAAGGTCTTCTCTAGTATTTCTGTTGTCTAACTACACATTGTCCCCCCTGTGCTCTGCTCTCTAAATATATCTGCAACTTGAATTTTGAAACGTTCTATATCCCCCTCTCTCGCCGCTAACATGGACCCTTCGACTTCACTGGCAGTCTCTTTGGTATTCATTTCAATTGTTGTTATTGCGCTACAAATTGAGGTAAGCTCTTTGTACCCTATTCTTGAACTAAGCTAATAACCCCCAAGGGGTGGCTGCATTCAAACCGGATTCAGGAGTTGCAAAAAAAGATGGAAGAGCTAGAAAACAAGATGAAAATAACGGGATCGGATGCCTGTTAAGATCAAGTGTGCTTTTGGTGAATCAGGGACCAGCTGATTATAGCTCATGTTTAAGTTTACTTTTTCAAGGCATGATGACCTTCAGAGAGAGCTGACCAAGTCACGTATTATTTGGCTGGTGTAGAAAGGATGTGAAGAGTCACGTATTAGATGTCTACTAGTAGATACCTGGGGCAGGTATATCTGTATCTAGTGCCGTATAGCTTCCTGATATTCTTTGACTGCTTATGTTTATTCTTCTCGGTGAATGCCACTACATTCAAGTTGTTACTCTAGTCTTCTCGCCTTTGGTCGTACACATCCACATCGGAATAATACTAGTAGTGTATGGGCAACCAGTGCATAATTCATCTCTTCATTTCCAACCAACAGCCAACAATACCGGGAATTCAATAATACTAGTATACCCACCACTCCTAGTTCCAATAAAATCATATTACTATATACCCGCATGGCTCTTCTATGCTCTCATTCCACCTTGACGATCTTGCCCGTCTCCACCTCATACACATACCCCGTGACCGGAACATCCAGCACAAGCGGACTCTCCCTCAGCAGCTGAACATCATCCAGAACACTCTGCCTAAGATCACCAAATGGAAGAAAGGCAATATGATCAACATTCTGCCTCAAATCCGCCCGCACTTTCCCGCGGATCACCTCATCGGTGAAAGTAAGCATTCCACAGTCCGTCTGGAGATCAGTTAGCACCCTGTTAAATATCGTCTGGGTGTCTTCCATTCATTCTAAACGTACGTGGTGCACGATGATGATCTCCCGCGTGCCGAGGAGCTGCTGCGAAATGACGATGCTGCGTAGTGCGTCCGTCACCCGACCGCCTGCATTTCGAATAACGTGGGCGTCACCTTCTTCCAGGCCTAAGGCGCGGGCGGTATCTATGTTTATTCACGATTAGTTGAGAGTGCCTCGCGTAATAGTAGTATTACGTGGGCCTTGGAGCATACCAAGTCTTGCATCCATGCATGCTACGATGGCAACTTTGCTAATGGACAGAAATGTCAGCATAACACCGATGTCTTTGTGGATTGTTTCTGATAAGAAAGAATTGAATATAAATAAGATCGAATATAATACCGCTGAGGAGGCAGAGTCAGGTCCCCTTTCGTAAAAGAGGCTGCATATTGCGCGTTGGCGGCTTCGACTTCTTGCGCGACAGACATGGAGATTCAAGATTGGCGGTATTGATACTAGAGTACTAGTAGCTTTATCTTTGGCTCGAGATTTGACGAAAGAAAGGTACCTTGGGGACAGAGGTAAGATATAAAGGGCCACGAACGCCCCCGCATTCAGAGAGGTTCGTCAGAATATGAGGTGATCTTTGGTTACCCCGACCTGAGATGGCGTGATGGAGCCTGTACAGCTATGTCTGCCAATGAAGAGTGTCTTAACAGCTGTTTGAGTTTTGTTTCCTTTTTCCGAAGACTGATTTTGTGGATTAGATGTGTCTATCATGCAGTGTCAAATTTCCCATGTGTTTATCTACTAGGATAGTGACAAGGACCGGAGAAGTATGGGCATACTACCGGCCAGATCCCTGCCACATCCCAAAAAAAGTACCCAAAATAGGCAAAGGACAGTCACTCAATATCAATTTGCTCATACTAATACTCATTCCGAGCAATCTGTTCACACAATTCACGCAATATACCACCCAACCACTCGAAATCAGCCTTCTCCAAATAAACCTGCCCACTCAACCGCGTCCACAGCCACGGCCCATGTTGAAAAGTAGACACAAAGGTATCAAACTTTTCCATCAAAGTGCGCTGAATAAACGCAAAAGCACGAGCCGCCTCCCGAGAAGACAGAGTTACGAGAGCCCCCCTCGACCGGTCGATTCTTCTCCTCACCCAGGCTGAGATCCGCCAAGTCCAGATCATCCGCAACAGCGATAGGCAGACGAACCGTCGTCAACGCACAAGCGCGCATCCGACTCTCCTCCCCACTCTTCAACCCGGGCTCCTGGAGCACTTCTGTGCCGAGGATCGAGGCAACTGCATCTGCGCCCTCGTTGGTGACTTTCTGGCAGTATGCCATGATAGCCTCTTCGCCGCCGCAGACCTCCTTGCGGAATTTCAGCGCCGCTTCGACGCAGATGTAAGCCGAGTCGTCGCTGGTGGCGACGAATTCGAAGAGCTCTTCGAAGGGGGTTTGGGCTTTCGCGGCTGTTGGGTCTTGCAGGACTGAGGCGATTGTTTCCGCTGAGCCGGCTGCCGGGATGAAACCCCATGATGTGGGGAGGGTGCTGCGCATGAAGTGTTGATTGCGCTTGGGTATGTAGAGGATGGCTGCGCTGCGCGGGGTGTATAGCCATCTGGATGGAAGGTCAGTAAGCGAGGAGATGGGGGTGAAAAGCAGATGGGAAATTCTCATACTTGTGGCAATTGGAGGTCAGAAAGTCGGGCTGGAGGACGCTCATATCCAGCGGGATTTGCCCAATACCATGTGCGCCGTCGATGACGCTCAGAATGCCCTCCTCGCGACAGATAGTGACGAATTTCTCAAAGGGGAATCGAACACCCGGGTTACTGACGATGGTATCGAAGACCGCGGCGCGGACAGTCAGTCCTTCGTCCCGGGCCCGAGTGACGGTTTCGCGGAAGCGGCGCTCGAGTTCGTCCTCGGTGATGGGGTAGTGGTAGTTTACTTTTCGGGCCTGGAAGGGGCTGTGCTCTTGCATGGAGACGATGCCTTTCTCCACGGCTCCGTAGACGGGTTCGAAATAGATGAGCGCTTCGTTGGGCTGGAAGTTTAGATTATAGAGGACGGTCGCGACGCCTGTTGTGGCGTTTTTCACGAAGACACATTCTTCTTTGGGCGCGTTGATGATTGTTGCTACGCTCTGGCGGGCTTTGTCGAGAATCTTTGTGTGCTGTTTTCGGATATATGGATCTGGTCGGAGGTCTGCGATGTCTAAGAATGCACGTTGGGCATCGCGGACTGGCGCTGGGTGTGCGCCGAAGGAACCTGGTAGTTCGGGAGTTAGTCTGATGTTTTGAAATGGACTCTGTTATACAAACCATGGTTGAGATTCTTGTATGAAGGATCGAAGAGCCAATGTTTCAACATTGGTTTCCCGAAGGGAGTGGGCTGAGTAGTAGCCATGATGTTGAAGAGTGCAGGAAAGCTGCGGGAGCAAGTTTGTGGAGTTCTAGAAGTTGCGAAGTTAAATAGACTCGATACCTCGATGACTCAGGCCAGATAGACTAGGCAGAGAACCAAATGCAACGGTATAGTTAAGAGATTGACTCGGAGCATCTCCACGCCAATAGTTGTTGGGGTTTTGCAGGAAGCTAGCTCCACCGGTGCCACGCGAAGGGCGGGGGACTAGACCTCCAAGGGAGAATTCCCCACTCGCATTGAAGATAATTGAGAGTGACTCAACTCTAGCCTCGAAATTCAAGTGGGGAATGCTTCGGTCAGTTCGAATCTTCTTCAAATTCCTATGATCTCTTATCTCAAGGCTGACGTACCCTTAATTCGGGAGGTGTCTAAGGACAGCCGACCCAAGGCGATGATAGCCGACAAGGGGCACCACCATTCTTTTCTTCGAAAATTGAATAGGAAATTCAGTGATGAGAGTTAAACATTATTATTTTATTTCTATAGCTTGATCGTCCAACCAGTGAAAGAATATTAATACCAAGCTTCAAATTTGCCACTGATTATGCGGGCTCGACATGTACAATGCCTTTTCGATGTCCTTCCGTTTGAATGCCGGTCCAGCACCAACACAAATACACCGGAGTGAAAGATCTGCAGATCAATTAGTACTGTAACTTGAACGAAAGATAAGATATGCAGATATTCCGGGACTCACATCGTATAAACATTGTCGCGTTAATTTCTGACGTGTAATCGATGGATGGACTAGAGTATCCCGTATCACTATCAGAGACCCGGACCCCTTTCCGTTCCAGATACCTTTGCACTCCACTAGCATCCATATATTCTCCAGCTCCGGCCTCGGTGATCAATTTCCATGCTCGCGATGTGCGCGTAAGCTGCTCTGGCGAAAGGGTTTCTCTCACATTGTATACGGGGTTGAGGACCCTCGCTATGCGTTCGATGCGATCCCCAACCTCATCGTGCGTGGTATCATAAAATGACGATATCATCCGATTACGCTCATTTATTGATAACGGGGCTCTGAAGATATGTTCGATCTTTGCTTCGTCGCAGGGGTCGCTGGTCAATAGCCAATATCCATTTTGACAACATTGTCGCACAAGTCGCTGGGAGAGATTCCACCGTCCTTGCTGTATGAGACTGCCCGAAGATATCGTTGTTGGAGGACTCGGTGATGATTGGTTGGTATTCGAAAAGGAAAGAGGAGGTGAGGAGTAGACGATGCCGAAGGGGAGAATAGAGTGGTCTTGGTTAGGAGGCGTCGGTGGTAATTGTGTCCAATGGGCCAAAGTGGCCAATGAGGGTTGAAATGGGTCTTCGGTAAACGAAATGCTATTCGCTTGTACTATTTCTGTATCGAAATCCAGGTTGATTTCCGGTGTACTGTGCTTGCTGCGGTCGACTGTCGCCACCGTATCGACAATATCGGCGGTGGTTTTCTCTCCGGATTCATCGTCGCATCCTTGTTTTGCGAGTGCGACACATTGCTGGGTGATTTTCTGCAAGGCAAAAGTGATATCTGGATTTGTTTCAAGTATCTTGGCTTCGAGAAGAAGATTGCTGAATGATAGGAAAGACTGGCTGAGATCCTCGATCCCAGATTCAAGCTCTTGCACGCGAGTCTGCAGATTGGTGATGGTGTTCTCTTTCCGCTTGCGATATGCTTGCTGTGCGACACGTAATTGTTTGCGACGTCTCTGGACATAAAATGAGCCGGGTGCACGTCTTGCTTTATCTTTCGCTTTATCGCTTACCTCTGGGATTTCTTGATCGTCGGTAACGGTTCGAGGACGGCCCCGTTTGCGCGGCGCAGGAGCAGCAGGAGCAGCAGGCGATTCAAGTTTGGCCTCGGCCATCGATTCAAGTTTTCAAAATATGTAAATGATGGATATTATTCTCTTATCTAGCAATCTAAGAGTGATGTAATGGAGAAAACGGGGAGATCTCTGGAGATCGTAAGAGTGGCGGATGGTTTATTCATCCAACCCCGGTCCCGTCGGAATGTTGAATAATCAGAAAAATCCCTCCAGGCCCGCCAGAAAATACGGTAACTCAACAAATCCCACCATGCTGACAAAAGCTTGTGCCGTGGATTTGATCAAACATTTCAAATCATCATCTGCAGAATAAGATGCTCTCTTAAATCTTATGGAAAGTAGCCGGAGTATATAAGGGCCTCGGTCTCCGATCGGTATGTCGTCATCGATGTGGCCCGAACTTACAAATCATCTTATACTAGTATACATCCATTGATATAGCCAATTTTTAATACAGAGCGAGAGTTCAAGACTATTTATACACATTCGCTGCATTGATATCAATGAAAATGAGATAACTTTTACCCTTGATTACTGGTCGATACTCCTTCGGAGCGGTGAATGTCAGTACCCAACTCTTGGGGTAAATGAAGGCCTGAAAAGTTATATCTAGGTTCCAGGTTCTAGCTTGATGTACAAAGAAACACGAATCGCGATGAACAAGATCCAATCGCTTAAATTTTTGAATAGGTCATATGACAAACATGATAATATGCATACTAGTATGTTGCATGTTGGCGAATGGGGGCTGATTGGCTATTCAGAGCTCATGTTTGCCCTTAAGTCCACTCATATGCATACTATCATGTCAGCAATGCGAAAGGGAACCAAGCATGGAAGATAAATTTGAGAATCTTTCGGCTAAATTTGCGTCGAGTCCAAAATGCAGCTCTTTCTGTTAGGGAACTTGAAAATCAACTCTTCACATTAAACCATATAATCTTGCAAATTTTTCGAATTCAGTCCAATAGCGCCTGGCTCACGTTTGGATACACCATAAACGAAAAGGGCCTCGGTAAATAAATAAAATAAAATCACCGGTCTCGTAAAATGACTATCGACAGCTTCAATCCTTGCAAGGAGCTTCCGCCAACTATCGTGGATCATCATGCCGCCCTCTATCCAGATAGAATCTGGGCCAGGTTCCCAGAGTCTGCGAATACTTATAGTGAAGGCTATCGAGACGTCTCATACAGTGAGCTCGCCAATGCTGTGAATGGAGCTGCCCTATTCTTGATCGAGTCCCTCGGGCAAGGGGACGGCACAGAGAAGCTGCCGTACATAGGTCCGAACGATATTCGGTACATGATACTTGCCATTGGTGCTTTGAAAGCAGGCTATTGTGTAAGTGAAGACCAACAAAGTGTCTATTCTCCAATTTTCTGATCATAACTAGATGTTCTTCGCATCGGCTCGCAATAGTATCGCTGCACACATTAGTCTCTTAGAGACCATGCGATGCAAAATCCTACTAGCACCCATTCCCAGGCCTTCAATTATTTCCGACATCGCACAGGCTACTTCACTGCCTGTGCTTGAAGTTCCTGCTGTGAATGAGTTTCTGAGAACACAGTATAAGTACGTTCCTTTCTCAAAAACTCTCGCGAAGAACGGCTCTGATACTTTTGCCGTTGTTCACACTTCGGGCTCGACGGGGATTCCCAAGCCAATTGAGTTTACCTTTTCTGCTGGTGCAGCGTTCATGGAGATGACTCAACTACATACGCCAGAGGGGTTTGATAGCCTATACCGGATGATACAAGAAAAGCGTATCTTCGTGACCGTTCCTCCTTTTCATGTAAGGCAAAACCACAATCTCACCATAGAATATGCTAACAGCCACATACAGGCAGCCTATCTCTTTCATGTTATATTCAATGTCATTCCATTCGGCATTGTTCTTGTTTATCCCACCGCATCATCAATCGCTTCAGCTCACGGGATGGTTGATGGGATGAAACAAACTCAAATCGACGGGGTATTCACGACACCCTCAGTGATCGAAGAACTAGCCGAAAGCCCAAAGCTATTAGAATTCTGCGAAAAAGAACCTGAGTTTCATCTTTTTCGGAGGCGGAGACCTCCCCCAAGACATTGGAGACAAAGTAGCCGCAAAGGTCAAATTAATCGACCAATTTGGCGCCACAGAAATCGGTCTACTCCCAGTCCTCTTTTCTAAAGCTCACCGCAGCCCCGAGGATTGGAAGTACATGGAGATCCACCACGATATGGGAATTGAATTTCGCCATATAGAAGGGAGCCAGCATGAACTTGTTGTCATGCGCCACCCAGAACGAGAAAAGCACCAACCGACATTCGCCTTCTTCCCCGAGTTGCAGGAGTATGGCAGTCGGGATTTGTTCGTGCAGCACCCAGATCCCAACAAGAAGGACATGTGGAAATGGCAGGCGCGCAAAGATGACATTATCGCCTTTTCAACGGGTGAAAAGACCAATCCTATTTCCATGGAGCAGTATGTTCAGTCGCAAAACCCAGAGATCACCGGCGTTCTTGTCGTGGGTGCGCAGCGATCAAAGGCGAGTATGCTTGTTGAAGTGAAGAGCAATGGGGTCGAATTGTCGACAGCTGAGAGAGGTGCACTCATTGAGAGATTCTGGCCCTCTGTTGAGGAGGCTAATAGGGAGTGTCCGGTGCAGGCTCGCGTTGTAAAGTCTCGTATCTTACTCACGTCTCCCAATAAACCAATGGCTCGTGCTGGTAAAGGGACTATACAACGGGCTGGAACATTGCAGGCATATGAGAAGGAGATTGAAAGTCTTTATTCTGAGACTGATACTATCACTCCTAAAGCCCAGGTGTAATGGAGCATATCCATACCAGACCGGGTTCGCATTCAAAGGATGCTACCGCTAAAATTGCTCGGATCGAGCTGATTTTGATCTCGCGAGACGTCGACTATGCTATATCACATCTCGTAAACGTGTCATATAAGAAAAGGAAACCTTAAATGCAATCATGCACAAATACATTGACGCTGCTAAAAAAAAGCATGGTAGTACATGAGATGAGATAGAAGGACTGAAGTCCATTTAACCGCCGGATGCACACGCAAAAAAAAAAAAGGTCGCAGATAATCAAACAATGCAAAAAATTTCCCGACTAGCTCAGAAACAGCTAACTATGCACGCCACTAGCGCTTGCCCTTCTTGCGGGGGCGACGACCTTGAATGCAGCATTGCTCTCCTCCTCACGGGCAGAGGGAGTAGCACTCGAGGCAGATCCCTTCTTAGCAACCTCGTTCCAGCCACCGCCGTTCTTCTGCTCGGCGAAGGCACTGGGCGAGACGGGGTCAACGACACCCTTGTCAGCAAGCTTGCGGCGGCGGATGAACTCGTCGGCAAAGCGGCGACCATCCAAGGTCTGGGAGTTTGCGTAGACAGAGTCAGAGATGATCTCGGCCTCGGCAGGCAGGAAAAGAAGTTGCTGAACAAAGTCATCCACTAGAAAGGTTTAGAATTAGACGTTTATTTGCTGCTGGGGTTATTTGTGGGGCTTACCATTGATGTTACTGTTCAGGCCCCTGCCCAAAGACAGCTTAGCCCACTTAGTAAACTCCTCCATGGCGCGGTTAGAGCTGCCCTGAGACACGCTGCCACCGGTCACAGTACGAGTGGCGATGGTAGGGCGGGGCTTGGACACAGAAGCAGGTGCAACAGGAATGGTACCGCTGGTCGAACGAGGTCCAAGGGGGGCGGCAAGAGGAGTCTTAGCCTTGCCACTAGCCCCGACAGTTGTCCAAGCACCAGAAGCAACAGGGGCAGCACTGGCGGCGGCGGCAGTAGTAGCAGCAGGGGCCTTGCTGGCAAGCTCGGCATAGCGCTTGGTAGCGGAAGCCGGGGGGGCTAGGCGTCGCGACTTGAGCAGCGGCAGCGGCGTTGATAGCAGCTTGGCGCTGCTTGCGGGCCTCCTCTTCCTTCTGAATCTGAGCCAGAGTCTTCTTTGCGGTGCTGGTGATAGGTGCGGGCTGGCTCTTAGTGTTCCAGGCTGGGCTGGCGGCAGTAGGAGTAGCCGGTGATCCAGAGCTGGCCCAGTTTGCGGAAGAGGGAAGACCAGGGACAACCTGAGCCTGGGCATGGCTGAGACGCTCTTGCTCGGCAAGGAACTGAGCACGACGAGCGGCGGCGGCGTGTTCCTCGCGCTGGGCAGCAGTGCGAGCTTCAGCCTCTTGGATCTCCTTCAGAGAGGGACCCTTCGGCACTTCAACGTTATCCTTTGCCCAAGGGGCGACAGAAGTGGGTGCCGCATCAATTGGGGTTTGGGTCCGAGACTGAGAGTCGGCAACCAGAGATTCAGCCATGTTCTGGCGGTTGCGCTGAGCAGCGGGAGCGGGCAAAGGCGACGCAGAGGGAGGCGGGGGGAAGGGGTGAGGCATAGCGCTATCGGTCTTAACTCCCCAGACATTTTCAGGGACAGCCTGAGCATGCTGGTCTTGCTCCTGCTGTTGACGCTGGGCAGAAGCAGCCTTGTGGACCTGTTGAGACAGAGTGAGAGTAGGCTCATCAATAGGCTCATCAGCTGAGAGGGCTTCCATAGCTAGCTCTTCACTGGTAGCAGCAGCTTCGGCATCCTGGACGGAAGCGGCTGGGTGAGTTGGCAAGCCGTCAACGGTCCGCATCCCAAAGTCGCCTTCTTGGGCTCTCAGAGCATGGAACTGACGCAGTCGCTCTTCGCGGGCCTGCTGGTCGAAGGGATCATTGGAGTTGAGCTGGTCAAACTGCTCTTGTTCTTGCTGAAGCGCCTCGCGATCTTGAAGCATTGAAGAAACCTGCTGGGAGTGCAGGAAGCTGTCGGGCTGGCGAGCAGCGAATGAATTGGATGCACCAAAAGCAAAAGGATCCTGGCGGCCGACGTTCAGGCGATCCAGTAGAGCCGGAAGTTGGTCTTGGCTACCGAGCTCAGTTCCTAGCATTCCAGGTCCGACATTCGGGAGACCTCCCTGTCGGGTAGGTGCTGCAGAATCGAAGAAACCGGCAACCCCACCTTGCGATTGCTGCTGCTGGCCATGGCCAGGTGCCTGGATTGGAGATGGCTGGTAACCAGACGGCGAAGCAATGCTACCGAAGCTGGGCTGGCTCTGAAGACTGTGGGCGCTAGTTTGGTGCTGCAGCTGGGGCTGCATAGTAGAAGGGCCAATCTGCTTCATAATCGCTTGCTGCTGGGCGAGATGTTCTTTTTGACGGGCCATCAGATACTGCTCCTCCTGTTTGCGTCGCTCGAGTGCGTTCTGTTGCTCCGCGGTCAAGGTAGTGCCGAAACTCGGGAAACTTCCAGGGAATGGAGGCTGAGCAGTAGTAGTGGTTTGCCCAGGAGGGCCAGTCCATTGAGCACCAGTGGGTTCGGGACCATGGGGGATGCCGATTTGGGGAACAAGGAAGGGCTCGCGTGAGTTGCCAATACGTCGGACCAGCTGAGCCAATGGCTCAAATTCAATATCTTCGAGCTTCTTTATTTGCAGGTCGGGGCTGAAAAAGCCAGCCTTGAACCAGTCATGCATCTCAAGTCCGGTCCATGGCCCCTGGACATTGCCCTGTGGGTCGCGATAGATCCAGCGCATGCGATCAGGCATCACCATGCAACGTTGCTGGGCAGAAGGCACGGTACCCCCGGGAGTCTGAATTGCTCCAGCTCCGTCGTGACCGATTCCGGGCGGAAGAGAACCAACAGCCGAAACAGGTGTTTGAGACGGGTTTGACCCAGGTTTACTTGCCTGGCCGGGCTTCTCCGTCTGCTGGAGATCCACTTGTCGGAGCCCTTCTTCCAGGCCGACCGAGTCTGAGCGACCTTGTTCGTCCTGCACGGATGAGAAAAGGGCACCGAGTTTGCTCGATCGGCCTATGCTAGCAGTTCCGGAAATACCAGCATGAGGGCTAAAGAGACCTCCACCTCCAAGTGTAGACAGGCTTGGAGATTGGAGATCGCCCATGGAACCGAAGATGGGATCGCCGAAACCGCTAGCGAAAGCAGAGCGTTCGCGGGTTGGAGTGCCGATGGCACCTCCAGACGGCCAAGCGGCACCCCCGCCGAGAGAGGAGAGACCACCTAGGCCACCAAGGCCCGAGAAGTTACGGTTAGCGTTGGCGCTGGAGTTTTGGCTGCGATCGACAGTAGGCAAATCCATGCCAGAGCCAACCCGTCTCATCGATCCAAAAGGGTTTGAAGGATCCCGCAAGCCACTGAGACCGGGGTGTTGAGAATGCTGAATGTCCGATCCATCCGTATCCATATCCTCTGGGTCGGCAGCAGTCCGATCATTTTGAGGGCTTTGATAGGGGTTGGTGTTCGTGGGGCTAGTTGGTTCATGGCCCTGGAGCAAGCTCGGGGTAGGATTGCGGGAATTCTCTTGGCTTTGCATTAATTCGCGGAAGCCTGGGATGCTTGAAGTCATTCCGAACGCGCCAAACCCGAGGTCAGCCTGTGACGGAGCTTCGAGATCTTGAGATCCACCGAGCGCGGCGCTTCCACTGCGAGGTTCATCAAATGGATTTGTTTCACTGCGGTTTGCACGCGTCTTGAGCCCCTCTCCCCAAGGAGACTGAGAACGTTGGTCACCATCATCTTCGGTCAGGCGCTCGAGGCCGGCTAGGTTCTTGTCCTTAGCAGACCCAGCAATATCCTCAGAGCTATCCTTAGAAAGAAGATCCTTGAACCGGCTTTCTCCACGAAGGCTTCCATATCCAGGTTTCTTCTCCGTTGGCGTTTGGGCCGTGCTGGAACCCAGGGAGAAAGCTCCAAAAGCGCCCATGGGAGAGAAGTTGGCATTGTGCGAAGCCGAGCCCCAGGGCGAGCCTGGTCCCCCCCACAGAGGTATTCAGAGGGTTGGTCGAGCTTCGTTTCAAAGAGCCGAAAGGAGAAGCAGTTTCTTGTCCTTCTTTAGGCTTGTCGTCAGGCTTTTGATCTCGAAAATCGGTCTTCCGACGCAAAAGGGCGGGAGGAGGGGTGGAAGTAGTCGCCTCATCGCGGAAAAAGCGCGAGTTGGAGCCGGTAGGGGACATGGGGTTGCCGATCGAGTCACCAGTCTCACGACGTCTCGCGCCCGGGCGGCTGCCCGTCGGGGAGGAGGTATTGTAGTTATTGGTATGACCTTGGGTGTAAGAGATGGACTGTTTGCGACCCCCAGTACCTGGTGCAGTATTTTCTTTCTGCGCGTTCGTGGGGGGTGGCTTGAGGGGAGAATTGACCGAAGCAGTGAATATCTGCAGAGTTTTAGTATATGAACACGCAATTTCCACCCCACGCTGGATGATATCGTGACTTACTTCTTTCTCTCCATCCGACATATCAGACAAGCCCAGCGGCTCAGCCTGACCTCCATGGTCCCAACACACTTCAGGTCCCGCGGAGGATTTGTGGTCGTCCCGCTTCCCCCACGCACCATTCGCGGGGGCTGACACCATATGAGGATCCCAGTCGGCCACAAAGTATTCCTCCACGTTTTTACCCAAAGCTCCGTTCTCCCGCTGCGCCTTATACATCTCTAGGAGCTGCTCCTTGGAGTATCGGGCATCTCCGTTGCGTAGGGTGCTGGGGATGGTATTTGAGCTCATGTGGGGTGGGATGTATGCCCCGGGGGCCGTCGGTGTCGAAGCGGAAGCAGGTTGACCACTCTCTCGGATGTGAGAAGGGTTAGTAGCGACAGAAGGGCGGCGGAAAGTTTGAGTGGCTCCGTTCATACGAGATCGAGACCTAGTGTGGACATTCGAAGGTTAGCAAGGAATATTTCGATCTGGCGGAATTGGAGGTTGAAGAGGGCGATGCAGTGAATGGGAAAAGATATGACACAGAAAAAGCTAAATGCTTGAGAACGAGAAGGAAGGGCAAGATTGCATACCATTCACCACCAGCTCCTCCATCCCCTCTCCGACTGGGGTCCTGCGTGTTACCGGCAGCGGCGGAGGCAAAACTCGATGGAAGTGGTGTAGGCATTATGGATGATAGAAAGTTTTAGTACAGGTGATATTCCCCCACAAAACAGCCGATTTGGAAAGAGTTCGTCGCGAGACTTGAGGTGGCGGATGGTGCGAAAGTGTGTGATGCGAACGGGTTGGAGGGGACGCGAAACACGAGAAAGTAGTCGAAAAGGCGGGATGAATGAAATGACAGCTAGATGCGTGTCAATGGACGAACGAAATCGATGTAGGTGGAGGAAATGCAAGTATGCTTTGACGCCAGACGAACGAGGTCAAGAAAGAGAGATCGAGATTCGATTTCGCTTGGGTTTCCTGGAGAGCAAAAATGGATTTAGCGGGGGCGTGGCAGTAGGCGCGAAGAGGCGAAAATACCGTGTATTGGTGACGAGGTGTCGCGTGGGAAGGTACTCTAAAGGGATGAAATACGATGTATTGGGTGTATTGAAAAATACACACAGGTCTGCCTCCAGCCACCAGAAAGAAAGTACGGTGATACCCACACAACACACAAACACACTGTGGCTTCAAGCTTAACTATGCGTAGCTTCTACTAGTATGGAGGGCCAGTATCTTTTTTTTGGAATTATTCTAGAACAAAGGTCACTAGTTTCAGACCAAAATCTACCTATTCTATAACTCATCTCTCTTTTCTTTTTCCTCCCCAGGTTGTGGAGTCTGCTGCTATAGGGAAGCTCCCAAAACAGAAGAGGTGCAGCTGGCATCTAGTATGCATGCGGTGGGTTGTGGCAGTGGCAATAAATAGGTCGACGTGTAAGGTACACCTCCTGCCACCCCCGCCACTTCATTGGACGATCAGCTGCTTTCAAACAGTTAAAGTTGGATTGGTGTTGGTCTTCCTCGTTGGCTTTTGGACGTATCGTGCTGCTAGTCACCCTTGCTGGATTTCTTTGCCCTACTGCATATATGTACACTCCCCACAGCCATTGGCATTGGCATTGACATTGACATAGGCATAGGCATACGCCCATCAGATCATCTCAAAGGAAGGAGGGGATACTTGCATATCATCCCTCCCTTCCCCAGCCATCCTACCACACTACATGCCAGGTTGAAAATAATTGATCCAGTATATTTGCCTCCAAACACTCATTTGCAGAGCCCCCTCTGAATCTGGGCCAGACTCCGGTTAGGTTTGAAATTCTATTCTTCTACCCGTCTTCCCGCATGGGGGGTTGATCGTCACCGGCCCGACCATTTGGGAGGTTTGCTTGATTGCGCGGTTTGTTGCCCATAGTCTATATGCATCGTCCATTCAAGATATCTGTAGTTTGCTGTCTCATCTCAAAGCCCGAGCCCGATACTCGTAGATCTAACCTAGGCCTATAATGAGTCCTTTCAAATCGTTTCATGATTGCTTCAATCCAATCGGCCTTCATATACCATGGTACCATCTCCATCCTTCTCCCCTTTACCGATGACTACTTCTGTGAGAAAAGCTCGCTGAGGATCAAAATCCAGCATCACAATATCTCAGTCGAGTAGGTATTTATCGGCTTGATTGACCTCGCTACCTTTTCGTCATTATCAATCCGACTCCATTCCATACCCCAGCGCCATGAAGCGTAGTAGTCGTCGGTGTATGAATATTCCCGATTATTTCCTAGGCAAGCCCTATCACAAAGTCGTCGCTCGGGGTGAACAAATCAAGCCCAACCTTTTCTTTGTTCGAGACGGCGATGCCTGTGCCTTCGTCCGCCATCCTCCCCGAGCTACTCCAACCGAGAAACCAGTTCGTGGTCATTGCGAAATTCACAGCGATCACCTACCTCCGGTCACACCAGTGACTGGTAGCAACGATCATTTTGAAAGACCTCCTCCTCCTCCTCCGAGGCACACCTGTGGTCTATGCTTCCGTGAGCCGGAACCCGAGCACCCTCATCAACGGCCCAGGAAGACCAAAGGCTGGACTCACAAGGACAGTCAGAAACAACCGGGTGCAACTATTCCAGCATCTCCATGTCATTGTGCTTCACAATATGCAGGAACAGCAGTATCTCCGCTGACTCATTGCCATTATTATCCTCCGACCCCGAACGTCCACGGAATGACGTATCATCAGGAACATTACCATCGTTCGTGTCACTCTCCGGCTCCAACTCCAGCGCCAGCGACAGCAATAGCCTGCCCGCATCACTCAATGGAGATGCCAAGAGCAGTCGGTCCTCATACGAAGTCTACTTACAAGCGACCTGCCCCGCTCCCTCGGACTGAGGTCAGGCCAAGTGGCTGTTGTTATACAGATGATGCCAAATCCGACAGCTCCTTTGAATATGCACTGTCCGATGACTCGGCATCTGATTCTTCGGTGGGCGCTGTGATTGAGGATGCAGCCGAGACTGCGGATCCTGGATGCAATTCATGCCATCATTATCAACTTGTGTGCTGCTGTCGACACGGTGTTCTCTATGGGACGCGATGATGCATCAATTGTAAATCATGGTGACCTAACTAGCATTGGGTTTATTCTAGGGAAAAGTATGATCGGGGACACTTGAAGAATTTTAGATACTAGTGCTATGTATGTTCGAGTTGGGGGGGTTAACGAATTAAGTTCAAATTGGAAATTTTATAGACACATACTTGGAATATCTTTTCATATTTCAAGTTCTTCGGTCTCTTTTTCAAGACTACCTAGGTACCTATGTAGTACAGCTAGTATTACTCTAACCCTGTCTGAGTTCAAGTTCAAGTTCAACCTTGGAATTCAGACGGTGCCCAGATGCCCTGGCAGGTGGGCACTCCAGGGCTGCTAGTGGTAGTGGGTGGGCAGGTGATCAGGATCTACCGCCTGCTAAGTACCATTACTATCTGGGCACCATATATATATTCAAACTCCACTTCATAAACGTGACGTGCCGCAGTGTTGAACCTTAACACTTGGAAAATCAAGAATGGCCTATCTAACTAGTATCCCTTGAATAAATAACCAGTCCCGAATCAAGATATATACCTGGATTAGAACTCTTACTACTCAAGCCGAGATCGACTCAGCCTCGGAGTCTTGCGGGCGGTTGATGCGGGGCAATGGAATGCACTGACTGAAACAGGCCGACCCATGGCGGCATGCCTTGAAGAATTTACTACCGTTTTCTCATAGTCGGATTTGCTGGAAAATAGAACCAAAATAGGCAAGGTATTGTTCTGCTTCTCCAAATTGGAGACAGGGATATTGATGGTGATCCTTGGTGAATTAGTAAGTAGGCCGCCCTTCCGTGGGCCGAGGTCCCTTGTAGTGTTCACTCAATACATAAATTCGAGATTAGAATATCTTTTCGAACTTGAATGGATTCATACTATCATAACTTTAAAATATTAGCGAGTGATCTCCCATCAAAATTATCCGTATTCAATACAGCTGGTATTCCATTTCAACCGGTATCGACTCTCTCAATTCCCAGCCTCGCCGAAACTGGTCCTCGGTTATCGATTAAGCTAGTTGTCCCCGCATTCAACAAGTCTCATAGCACCAGCAAGCTTAGCTTGTCAGACCAGCTACTTGCCTCGCAACACAATGTCTAAGGCCGTCTATATTTCGCCCATTGATGGCAAGCCCGGTAAGCCGGGCCAGGTGTACTACCCGCTCACCGTGCGCACTCTACCCCAGCCTTCCCCGCAAGGGCGCGAGCTGCTGGTGAAGCTATCAGCCGCCTCGCTCAACCATCGCGACCTCTTCCTCCGCCAACACCTGTATCCCGGCGTAACATTCGATGTTCCTCTGCTGGCAGATGGCGTGGGCACCGTTGTCGGCGCTGGCCCCAACGTGTCCGACGCAGAGAAGTGGCAGGGAAAGCGCGTCATCCTAAATCCCGGCGTGGGCTGGAAAGATTCCCCCGATGGACCGGAGGAGGCAACTGGATACCGCATCATGGGAGGTACCAAAGTCTACAACAAAGGTACGCTCCAGGAGTATATCACCATCGACGAGTCCGAAGTTGAGGAGGCACCCGCCCATCTCTCTGATGCTGAGGCCGCTGCTCTCCCCTTGACCGGCTTGACTGGATGGCGAGCTTTGGTATCGAAGGCTGGCGAGAGAAACTCTAGCAACGGGGCTGCTGTGCTAATTACCGGAATTGGTGGCGGTGTTGCCTTGATTGCTCTGCGGTTTGCGGTCGCCCGTGGCGCTCATGTCTTTGTGACAAGCTCCAGCCAGGAGAAGATCCAGAAGGCAATTGAGCTTGGTGCAACTGGTGGTGTCAGCTATAAAGAAGATGGATGGGAGAAGAAGCTTCTTGGATTGCTCCCTGCTGGAAAGAAGAACTTCGATGCTATCATTGACGGGGCAGGTGGCGATTCAATTGAGAAATCCGTCAAACTGCTCAAGGTGAGTGCAGAATACCCTTCCGCAACACATATCCCATAGTAGTCTTCTATATTTCAAGGATGTTTACTGACATTGACGATCCAGGCCGGCGGTGTTCTGTCCATCTATGGTATGACAGTGTCTCCTAAGATGACTTTCTCCATGACAGCTGTCCTCAAGAACATTGATGTTCGTGGCTCCACGATGGGTTCTCGCAAAGAATTCAAGGATATGATTGAATTTGTGAAGGCTAAGAAGATTCACCCCGTTGTTTCACGAGTACTTCAGGCTGAGATTGACGATCTTCCTGCCATCGACGGATTGTTTGAGGACATGAAGCAAGGCAAGCAGTTTGGAAAGCTGGTTATTGATTTTGGCAAGGCCTCCACAGGCAGCAAGCTGTAATATAATCGACAGCTAGAGTTACGATCTTTTTGATGATAATTTCAATGCCAGATTTCAATGTCAATATAGATTGCAACCGCGTCTACGCGAATATAATGCAGTTTCTAAATCAGGCAGGCACGATCCCTTTCCTCCTTATCTCAACCTCACCTTCCCTGCCCTTGAGCCTCGTCGACCTCGCATGCAAATCAGTTCTTCCAACCGTGCTTCCTCTTCCTTTATTCCCCACGATAACCACAAGGGTACTACACTCCTTCACTTGGCCCGGCACCTTTGAGGACCAACATGTCACTTTCCCCAGAAAAACGTGGCCGTCACACCCGCCCTCGCTCCAGCTCCCGTGGACCTACCAAGTTAGCCAAATCGTCTTGTTTCAGCGTAAGCCCCAGTCACCGACTATTCCAAGGACAGAAAGGTTCACCGAAAACACGAGAGGCAAGTGAAGACTGATTAGCTGACGCAGAAACACAAAATTGCATGTCTCGCACTGCAAGCCTCAAACAACGACCTGGAAGCGCGTATCACACACATTCGCGGAAATTTGAATCAGCTCGAGCGAGAGATTTCAGTCCTTTCACGCCATTTAAAGCAATACAGCCACAATCCATTCCTGGAGACCTGGCAGGCTGACCTTCTCACTCGCCTCATCGAGGTGGCCTATGTCCGCCAGACGAGAAAGCTGCCCGCAGGGGTCTCCATCGGCGAAACGAACACTGCAGAAAGAGAGATCCTCTCTCGAGCTTATAGCAATGCGGCTCGCCGAGTGCATTGGAGCACGCTAGACAGTCTTGGTCTTGACGTGAGACACCATGATGCGTTGCAGCGTTACTCTGATGTGAGTTGGAAGCCTTTCCCCCCTCTTTCAGTCATGGATGTCATCAAAGTCTGCCCCTTTCTGATGCTCAAGTGTATAGATCGCTGTTTATCGGAGTCCAAATCCCTTCGACACAGAGACTCCATTCGCTGAGTGGTTGGTCGAGCAGAGTCAGGAAAAGCCGGACTTGTTTGCATTCTGGGCAAGTCTCTATCCAATCTGCTACGGTCGTTCCGTATACGAAAGCCTAGTCATCGCCTGAAAGCTCATTCTATCTCGCTATTCCTTTTCGTGCACTGGTATATTCGAGGTGGTAGGGCAAGGGCAAGGGCGTTTCGGTGACAAAGGGTCAGGTCAGGGCAAGGGATGAGGCGTTCTCGTAAGCGTCTGTTGATTATGTATCTGCTTCAAGAATCGGTCAGCGGTCTTTCATTCCATTGCAGTTATGCATGAGCAGGGCATTCTTTTCTGGCTGCAAGGCCACGCTGTGCAGCTGCCCACTTGGGTCTTCATAAGGCATAAGACCGTGTAGATTTGGCATCAACCATCAGAATCAGCCACTGGCACCAACGTGTCACTATCACACCGATGCAGAAAGCCCTGTTCGGCAACTGGCATGCCATTCTGCAGTCTATTAATTCATCCTCCTCAATATCTGAATGACCAACATCTACCGTAACTCTAGCATCAGCCCTAAGAAAACGACGATTTTTCAGACCGCTGAAAGATCGGCATCCGTGGATGTCTCTACCTCGATCAGGCCATCCGAACACAACCTCCACCACGTATAGAACGTATAGGAACTACAGCTACCATTAACATTATGGAGTTTATCTTGATTCGAATAGGGCTACGTCGATCAGGCCGCCAGGGCCAGCTAGTTTTCGCATGGCTGAGCTGAACAGAGACCATTTGGGAGCGAAATTTTTTTGGCAAAGCACGGAGTAAGCTGAACTATCCTACCAGAATCTGTATACTCCTCACTAGCCTGGATAATGACTGCTACCGTTGCAAAGGATCATCTAAAACATGCCATCATCCAAACCCATAGTTCGAAACCAAAAATATGAATAGGATTTTTGAGTTTATTGTCCACGCGGCTAAGAATAGGATTTTGCTATACGGAGTACGCGAGAGGAGAGCTCACACTTAAGCACACACAAGCTATACTTAGGGCCAAGTGAGACAGGTCTGAAAGGCCCGGCACAGCCAAGCAACGACTGGGTGAAATGGGCGTAACGGACCTCCAATGGTAGTCAACACAGCGGTGTCCGCTACTCGTCCAATAATAGGCCCTCATATCGTGGGTCCCAGCTATCCGGCGTCCAATTCGTCCGGGCTCGGTTGGGTTCCGAAGCCTCGTTGTCGGTATGATGTCGTGAATGTACATGATGCTGCATCTCTACGGAGTAGTAATACTACTGCATTGGTGGATGCTGACCAGTTACTAGAACGAGGGGGTTAAGAAGCGAACTACTAGTATTCTGTATTTCAGATCGGTTAGACAAAACGCCACAAATCATTCGATCGCTTATACCGGCGTTTGCTAATTTTTTGGGGAGGTTTTTTAGGTTTTTACCTATTCCCCCTCATCAATTTTTTTTTTTTAAAAAAAGTGTACGGAGTACTACCTGCTCGTTTATCTTGGCCGCTTACATATGGGGATCACTTTTATATTTTTATTTTTCTCTCCCCTTCCTGTCTTGGCTTTTTTCACGAGTAACGAGAACCTATAAGATTCCTTCCCGGTTGAGCGGTCGGACCAATCCAACTCAAGCTTACAGGTTTAGTTTATTAAAGAGTGGAATTTTACGTGCTGTCAAAGCCGAGGTCCAAGCCCCAAGAAGTGCTGCCTGCGATGGCAGGATAGTTCATCGAGGGTCAAATCTGGTCCTCGGCGCACGGTGCAAGATAAAAAGAGGGTCATGACGGTCGATCCACCATATTGAGGGGATGGGAGGCGTTGGTTCCGTAGATGCGAAGATACATATGCACAGAGTACGGAGTACTAAATCCAGTAAAATAGAAGAGAAGAGAAGACAGGGAAAAAATAGCTGAGGGAAAAAAAGAAAAAGAAAAAGAAAACTAAAAAGTGGACCATCCTATTCGGGTCCGACATAGAAGTGGAGAAGGGCTAAGGGAAGAATGGCAGCTATCATTGGATCACCAGGAATAGCGCATCACGGCCCCCCTTTTTCGGCGATACTCGATGTGGTATAGATCAAGAAATTGTAGAGAACAGGACTTGTGTCGGAATAGACTGGGTCTCCGACGTCCCGACTAGCTCCCAATATCTATGCCCCCATTTGTTGTTCTGCACTCCACTAAGTTCGGCGGAGGATCGCTTAGCGCGTGCCAGCCTGCTCCACCTCGTGGCATTGCACCGCCATCCGCGTTGCCCGGTTTTCTGCTCTGTTGGCCCCCTTTTACCGATCCGAGATCCGGAGACGAAGGCCAATTGGCTACGGAGTCCTGCGAAAGCTCGATTGCCGGGTACTGGAGATGTTGGAGAACATTCTGTGTGTGAGGTGAAATTGGTTGAAAATGGGGAGCATGTATCACCAATGCCGGCACTATCAAACAGTGGTTCGTTTCAGCGGGTCGATTAGGCATCAGGGTATGAGAATCGCGGGATGGTTTGAGGGAACGACCCTCCCATGGATTCAATTTGAAACGGCCGTATACTGGCGGAGGTTTCAAGAATGGGCGATCGGAGCCGATCACTGCGACCTCGTTCAAGTTCGAGAGTGGATGGTTATCGATCGAAAGCAGAAAAGAGTTTCTTCTAGAAATCGGTAAAATTTGTTCGGATAATTCCTTGCCCTAGTCTGTGCTGGAGGTAGTACGGTTGGGCCAATTGGTTTCTCGAGAGTAAGTATAGAGTTTGCCGGAGTGTTGTGGTTGGGGTTTGGTGAGGGGGAACCTCTCCGCACTGGCAGGTACTAACTACTAGTACGACCACTACTAGTATATGTCGACGAGTGTTAACGATCGACACTACTACCAGCCTTGGAAGGCTCCAGGACTGTTGGCCTCGTGCCGATACTACCTTATCAAGTCCGAGTCCGCGTTACCTACTAGTAGTAGTATAGATATACCAGCCCGTACTACCTAATATCAACTTGAACCTTGGAAAGTTCCAAGGTTTGCTCTCTCGCAACTACTAGTAGGTGGTAGTATTCTAAGGTTTTTGAAGATTATGATATATACTAGTATCATAGTACCATACTAATAATACTGGGAGCCTTCTTGAAGACCTCCAAGGCTAAATAATACTAATATTCGCGTGGTACACCCATGATTTGAAATTCCGCATTGCATATCCGATTCCCGGCCCGGTTTCCGAATCGATCGACAAAATCACAACATTCAAGTAGCTTAAGCAGAGTGAAGATCTGTCTCACAGCCCCTAAGCCCCGTATGGAGACGTGTCTTTATAACAGTCTCCCCTAGAAGGAAGGTGATTATGTTGACTTGCAGGCCGCTGAATTTTAGCTTCTCGGTAGTCGCCTATAAAGATCTCATTCGGGTGTTGGGTCAAGTCTTAGCATGCACAACTGGAGCCAGGATCGACAAAAGCTCCATGGTATACTTGGCAAAAGTGGATGATACGTTTTTGGCACCACTCGAGCAGAAAAAAAAAGCACTGGGCATGATTTGCACGCCAGGCCGTAGACCTTTCCTACTCCGGAGACGATCTTCAACGAAAAGAAAATATAGTGGCTCCCCTCTTCCTACACCCATGAGCTGAAGAATCGCCGAAGGATTGGAAGAATGTGGTGAAACCCTTCCTATAATCTTCTCGTCGGTGAAACAACTGCGCCCACGGGGGCCTCGCAATGGGGCTACTAGCGGGAAGGGGCAGATAGTCATGAGAGTGAACCTAAATCTATTACTGTGAGAATCCTGTGCCGTGTCCAAGGGACCCTAGTCTGCGCAATCAGTGCAATGGATGGCTCAGGTCCACGCCCGTGTCTGCGGATCAATCTATCTGCATCTATTTGGGAATTGGAAGGCCACCAAGGGACGTAGGGTGGCCCAGGTTCTCCGCTATAGGATCAAGGACACGCTAAAATATATTAGACAGCTTTAATAATAATAAGGTATCTAATTAAACGTCAATGGGTCAGCTGAGCCTTCCCACAAGTCAAGCTTAATACCTTATGTCCACCGAGACCAAACAGAAGCGGCGCATGGAGACCGAGCAACCCCCGAAGGACACGGAGACAGGCCGGCAGATGGGGCTACTACCCGAAAATTTGGGAGGAGCTGACCTCCTTTTCTTGGTATTTCCTGGGCAAAGTCGTGGCGTGCCTGGAACGCTAAACACCGAAAGGAAGGAGCTATGTTCATCAAAAGATGCCATCGGCGACAGGCGGGCGTGACCGCAGATTGGGGCACAATTTGAATACATAAGCTGCTTGGTCAAGCGGGGATTAGGAAGATCCTGAGTGGTGAATGGGTGGTCCTTAGCTCCGGGGTTGCGGTGTACCCTGCTGCTGTGTAGATATTACGTCGGGAGCCAGAAGTGATCTTCTCATAGACCGATTTTGGGAAAGGTACAGCCTCTCCCCATCGGTTCTTTAAACGGCCTCTTATGATTTGCGAACCAAACCTTGCGCAGAACTTGACAGTAGATGAACCAGAGATACTGATCTAAGGGAATCATGGCTCAGCAAGACCACGATGTGGCTGAGCAGAGAGGCAGGTACTTGGAAATCAACGCTGGGTCCACCACGCAAACCGGGACATGTACGGAATATGGAATACACTTGCAAAGGCCCAATCGATGGCATGCAGCAAGATGAAGTCCACAATAGCACGGCATCAATGCAGGGCAACCACGGATGTGTTTGTCACGGTGCTGCTTCGGATAAAATCCATCAAGGCCATCAAGCCTGTAAGGGTGGCTCATCCGAGTCGATCACGGTTTCACTATAATCACGGCGCCACCATACAATTTAGGTTGCATGCAAGGTTCCCCAGGGCCCTGGCATGACATCGTGTCATTTCTAGATGACCTTTAGTGCCCCCTTGGTAAAAAGGGTAAATATTTGAACCAGGGGGAAGTTTGTCCCTTTTTGGTTGAAAATATTGATAACAATTTCCCTCGTTCTGACGCATGTACGTATTGCCTACGTACATCTTGAAGAAATTGTATGCGTATACATAGTACACGCGAAGATTCGATAACGTCAAAGCCTATCTGATAGCTGGATAATAGTGTACTTAGCACCTGGGAATATACCGAGGTGGAGAGGG